CTGGACCAAGTGGCTAACCGCGGTGAAACTGAATACCTGACAACACTGACAGTGGCCATCCGCGTATTTAACGCGAACCGGTTAATTCAGGCGACAATGTGACACGTGCTGGTTTAACAAAGATTACAAAAATTAAGAGGCTAGCAAGAGGCATCTTTACATTACCCAATCAAGGAAAGGACCAATGAATGGCGACAGTTAGTCGAGTTCTCGATTCCTCTTAGCAACTTTGACAAAACCTACCTTTGAGGTAAGCATTAACGTCTTAGGAGCAGACGAAAATCGCTTTAAGGTTACTGATAACAAAATAGTTTTGATGTGGAGCCCTAGTTAGTCACACGAACGCTTGTCTCTGTAATTGGACCTTTCGTTTTGCATGTTCAATTTATCTTGCCAAAATCTAAACACCGATCTCGACTGGGCACCATCTGTACTTCTGGAAGTCACTGGTTGGCCAATCTCTGCATGATCTTTAAGAGGTCTGGCGATCAGCACCAATGAGTTTTCCACTGACTAGACGCTGTCGCAGCGTCTGAACGACCCGCAATTTCCACTGCCAGCGCCGTTTGTGGATAAAGAAGACACGCAAAAGACAGACGTTACTACGATTTGCGGTCTGCGAAATGCTGTGCAGACATCCTATTTAAGCACAGCACAAAAAATCCTCTGAAGTCTTAGTTATGCATTTATCCTCATTAAAAGTCATAAGCCTGAAAATAGCGATTTACTTAAAACTAGTCGCAAGTGACTCAAACGCCGCAGGTCAATAACCAAGCCCCAAAATGTACTTGTCAACGCGTGATTTGCCTGGGTTTCTTCGGGTGCTACATCAAAGAAGAGGAAGACGTCGAGTTGCCGTGACAAAACAATTTAGAAAACCCAGTTGCCAAAGTTACTCTGCAGTCTTTTGCTTTTCGATGGTCCTAAAATTTACATTTCGTGTTCTACGCGTCAAACGGCGAAACTGGAAATAACAACTGATGTACCTCGAAAGACATAAATGGTGTAAAATCAGGGTCTCAATCGACACGGATGTGAATTCCCACCTACACTGCTTCCCCTCTTCAAAAGCATACTTTGTGTTGCAAACACTTGCCTCTCAAGACAATACTGATGCCATTGCTTGTTCAAATAACAAAACTTCTAATCAGCTAGAATTGGCTAGAGCAATGTGTTGGGATTAGCACAAGTAATATAAGGGGATATTAAGTCGTTTCAAAGCTCAGCTGTCATCTAAAATGACCATAAATCACTGATTTCACCATCATGTAAAATGAACTTTCACACCAAAATTTTAATTGATTAGGCTTTTGACCTCACAACCAGAACGGCAGTAAAAACATCGATTGAGAATAACTATTTGTCCCAAATCTCAAAGTAAATATTACTTTCACATTTTAGGAGACAAACCAGATCTCTTAATCCACGTTTTCAAATTTGTTATCAAACGCGTTTTGACATCAGCGATTCTCTGTTTAAGAAACCAACACTGCATTGACGACAGTACACCAAAGAAGAATCAATAGGTTAACAAATGCACTTATTTATGTAGAATAATAAATTTGCCTATATCACCATGCCAAGTGTATTAAATATCCCACACTAAACACCTCCGTAGCTATCATGTGACGGGGCACCAAATTACATAACTAACAGTGAGCCTAAAATGACGCCTTAGTAATGGGTCATGTAAGACTTCCGACGAAAACCAAATTGACAAGTCAAACAATTCTATATTTATATTTATATCCTTTTAAACGCCTTCGCATTAATTCACATAATTCACAAACAAAATAAAAATACTTAACATTCTATAAAGCGCGTCGAAACAGTTATTTACAGACAGAGACAGAACTGATTAAATCAGACAGCGTCTCCAGACGGTGTCACCAAATCCAATTTCAAGCCAAGTGCTCGAGACACGTACATAATTCCTTTAAAAATACAACCAGTTTTGCTTCCATGGCAGAAGTCAAACTCTACTTCAGTTCTGTGTTGGCATCCAAATTTAGTAAACTCGACACATGTTCCGATAAATATTTCAAGTTACACAATAATGCCACAACACGCGGTCCAATATTTTAACCTTACAACAAGGTATATTGCACAGTAATTTGTGCAACGTGTCCCGTGCTTGATGAGAAAATATTTCCAATTGTCAAAAAGCAATGAACTAAATGTCTAAATGAGTGACAAAACACCGTGTAACAGATATTAAAACGGGAAACCAAATTTATAATTAAATTCACTTAAGTCGTTCTGGTAGAATTACTACATAAATGTAATTTTGGATAAAAGCCACTAAGAATTAGCACTTCATAGTAAATAACTGAGTTAAATTAATCAAAACAAAGGCATCGTGTATTCAAATATGCAATAAAAGTAGCATTAACTTACGGTTGCATGAAATAAAAATCCCTTTTAACCAAAATGCGAGACCTGAAGAACAAATAAATGCCCAGGTCTCCGAAGGCAAGGTCATTTACGACCTTGAAGAATAGTCATTACAAAATTCCAGCAAAAACAATCCCTGCTATCTTACATTTCAAGCAATGCCTTTTCATGAATGCATGCAATTAGAGCAAATATTTTTTTAAACAAATCAAAGCTTTGATCGTTTTAGTGGTTCACTTGTCTACACACAGTCTCTAAGACACGATACGCCCTGGAGGTGGTCCGCTAAACGCTTGTGTACTTTATATTAGCGTAATCTTTGAGCACCCACTTCACAATTACCGCAATACCGGCATATCCTCATGACTATGAATGGACAATTATATTTGAAAATTCAGGGCATTCTTATTTCCAATTGAATTTCAACCAATTATTGCATTTAAATATCTTAAAATCCTAATTTTATATTGTCTAAAGTGCATAAGGCATAAATTCTAACATGCGACTAATATATACAAATCCACATCGTCTTAATTTTGTGCCGCTTTTTCGTATTTTAGGTTCATCGAGATGATTTTCAATAAATCACGCCAATTTCCAAGAAGTAAACCACAAAGACATGGAGACGCACAGTAATGGCCACAAACGGCATGGTTTCAGCACCCTAGTCTTTTCCACACCGAAAAAATTTGTCAAACTAGTCAAAAGGAAAGAATCTACCGATCTCCTTCGCCCACCTCTCTGTTCCCCTCCAGCGGATTGACGACATTTTTAACTCCCAATATTGCCGACACTAGCAATATGAGGCAGACCCAAATGATCAGAAGAAAACTGCGTTTGCCCTGCCTTGCGGCTTCAGCTAACGCAAGCAAGTCACAACATCCTACTGCCGAAATCACTATCCTACCCTTTCGACATCATTGCGTGAAGTGCATGTCGACCTAGCAAAAAACCGATACAGGTTCATCCAACCTTCACTGACATTCAGTGTGAAAGTTAATATCACTTTTTACAGAAGTCTACTAAATTTCTTGGTAGGTCAGTAATGATAAAGTCAAAACGGGTTTGGAATTAACGATCTTTATTACAACTTGCAGGCAATTAACATTCGTACGCACAGCTGAATAGCCTCTTTTTAGCGATTGACCTAGAAAGAAAAAACCTTCAACCGAAGGCTATGTTGTAAAAATGCTTTCTCACAGCCAACTCAAGCGCTCTCAGTAGTCTCTCTCTTGACATTTCCAAATCTTGCCTTCAACGTCACTCCTTATATTTAGAACATGGACACAAATGGCCACGCAGTGCTTCTCAAAGTTAAAGCTGACGAAATGTAAAGCGTCGTAGTTTGTACAATTTTTAACCGAGAAAAGATAAAACCCAGTTTTTGCGTCACCAGTTGTTAACGCCACGCTGTTAGCTCGTTTACCAAATGATTTCAATATTTTTTAAAGAGACAAACTCTGGTCATCTGATCTGACCACCAGGCTCGCACATTGTTTTGAATTTTATGGATCTGAAGAGTCATTTGGCTAGATGACAAGTAGCCCTAGTTAACTGTAAACTCTGGCTTGAATCGTTATTCAAATTTGACATCCCAAAGCGAACTTCCAATCTCGCCCACCCCGAACCCCGGATCACAAAATAAGCACGACAAGTGAAATTGCCCATTTTAGCGCCACCATCGTACGTTATCAACTGTGCAAAACTTTGAGCAAAGGTTCCAGATAGGGCTCCGGTCTATGATCGACAGCCTCATGGCTAACACAAGCCAATATTGTGCGTTGTATTTCGAATACCGCCTCGGGTAAAATCTCTATTTTTACTTTTGGTAAACTATCCAGTTCCTCATTTACACGCTAACTCTAAAGAAATCCATGTCTAATATTTCTTTTTTTCCGCCAATTCCCATCCATCGAGGAACCTCCGTTAAAACTTAGCATTTTGGACTGCTGATGCTTCTCAAACTCCCGCATTGTTACTTTATTGCTTAAGGTCTAAGAGCTAATAGATTAGTGTTTTCGGTAATTATCTACTTGTTTTAGATCAGAATTTTGCGCTCGACTTATAGATACTGGTGAATGAAATTCAGAATTGGCAGCACATTGAGCAAAGTCGCGATAATTTATCCGGAGATGAAATCATGTGCAACACCATTAGACATAAACAAAAATGCGTCTTAAAGGGAAATGAATAAAACTCATGGACAACTAAGTAAGGCAGAATACTCCTAATTTTTGTTCGAATAATTTTCGGTTTTAAATATCGTTTGTAAAATTGGATTTTGACGGCGGCTGGTTGGAGTTTTCGCATGCGCTCGGTCGCGTGGTTTTGGTCGCTTTGCAGCGCTTTTGGGAGATTTTGAGGTGGTGTTTGGCAGCTTTGTTGCTTAACAGGGTACGTATTTTGGTAGTAATCTTTAGTATGATAGCTTTAAAACTAAGGTCGGCCGTGGTTTAATTTAGCCCATATTGCTTAAATTCATTACAAGTTTAATCGATCCCAGCTTGACTCACCTCAGCCGATTTCTTTTTAGAGCCCTACTGCATAATATCTTCTGAATAGACACTTCTTTTATTCCAATTGAAAGATTTAAGTGACGGTTTATGATGCACCGAAGGCCTGCTTTTATTACGACTCCAATATTTTACGCCAACGCAGGTAAGGTCTCCCAATCACTAACGATGCTGTAGCAATTTCTTCTAAAAAGATTTTGTGGATGTAGGAAAACAGGCGCACAGTCCGTGTGTAGTAACTAAGTGTTTTATTGCAACCTGTTGTGGTTTAAGAAAATTTTGAGGTTTTCTAGTAGAACATAACATTCCAGGTTCTTTATGCTATCCACAGTTTTTTTGGATGAAAATATAGCTCTGTACCGTCGTCATCGAATTTCAGTCCTTATCACTGCTTAAACGATTTTCAATGCTCCTGTTTTGATAGTTTATACTCGATTCACCGTTCAGGGCCTCATATTGGTCACGCCTACACACTCTGTGTAGCAGATGCATGGTCACGGTTCTCGGGCATACGCCATCATCCCTGCCTCCAAGCCTTCCCTCCTCATCGCACACCCATGAGGCCGCCTCAAATAACGGGCTTCCTTTCCACAGGCGTGGATGAACATGGTTCTAAGGTATGTCCCGCATGATACATTCTTTCTGTTTTTGCCTTTCGAACGCTGTTCAACCGTTGATTCACGCTTAAATGATGCGTTACCACAGGTTCTGTGCCCTTCATGATCTTCAAAATTGCTTATTTGTCGTAAGACAATAGCCATTCTCTTCATTGGTTAGGTGCTCCGAAGTTAACACTAATAAGTTGCTTGGTTTTGTAACCTTTGATGTGTTTCATGAAGAGTTCGTAATTTCTCTTGGTTTTAAAATTTTTTCAGATCTCTCGTACAGCATCCAACCTCCGTTTTACTCCAAAGCAGCTCTGCGATCAAGTATCGCTGCAATTTAGGGTAAGTCAATTTGTGTATTTTTCATGCTGTATTCGCTTGTCTCTTAAATTGCTGTCTCTCTTTTAGGATCTTTGCAAAAGCCTTCACGTAGATGCCAGCGCGTTTATGAGAACGACCAGTGAAAGGCACATGCTAACTGTTCAGGATGTTTGGGTAAATGCCCTTTGGGTGACGTTACTGGTTCTATTTGTTCGTAACCCGCTCAAAATGGTTTATCGGTTGAGTTACTCTAAATGTGTCTTGTTTCAAAGTGCTTAACTGTATCTATTTTATTCCACAGTGCCGTGAGAATTTCCCTCCATGTTCAATGTATTTGGTCATTTAAGCGAACCCTCGATAAGTCAGACCATCTCTATTGGAGTGCTTACTCTGGGTGGTACTCGACCACCGACGAGGCATTCTATAGTGACTGGGAGGTCGACACGTCCCCGTTGGGCGCAGTCTCGAAGACTTCAGGCAACCAAGTCCATTGGGTGGAGGAAGAGACCTTCCGTTTTCGCCTCTCTGCTTTCAAGCCCAAGTTGCACGTCTGGCTAGACTCGGGAGGTCAGTGTTGCGCCCATTTTACACATGCAAACAACTCGGTATGGGTGTGGTCTAGGGTAGATTTCTAACGCCTTTCGAACTGTCAGTAGCTTTGAGAAGTCCATCAAAATCACTTACGCTTCCATTGTGGCTACTGACATGCGCCCTGTGCAGTTACTCTTTTGTACAATGCCTTCCGTTGATATTAGCAACAGTGTTCCAACTCTGGACCAAATTGAGTCATACTGCGACATCGTCAAACTACGTGTCATAGTACACAATGATGGTACCATTTGGCGATTTTCTAACTCTTCATAGGGGCATCCGTCCGTTACATGTAGAGACGCATTATGTTACCTGTACGAACGTAGTCAACATCATAGTTTGTAGATTTGATTGCTAACTATCATTTGTACCGCTTATCCACCAACTTTTATTGGGTCTTGGTAGTAATTGTGTTTAAATACACCACAGTACTATTCATTCTGATTTCACTGCTTTCTGTCGTCTGTGATTACGCGTGAGCCGAGTTTCACGTCGCTCCTCTGGGCCATCGGTTGTTGGCCTGTTGGTGAGCGACGCGTGGAATACTGCTCGAAGCGAACCTTTATGAGACGACGCCGATTTCAACATCTCATTAACCGTTTCTTTTTTTTCCCTCCTTCTTTTCCCCGCACCCGCAGTACTCCCCAATGAGTCACCCGAGCACGCGGGGTTGTTGGCACTGACGCACAAGACCCTCGATCGCCTTGAAGACCCCTGCGTGTCGCGGCCTAGCTCGCGCGTTCCCTGGGGCATCCCCGTTCCCGGCCGGATCGATCAAACTGTAAGCCTTAAATTGTACATTGCACGGCGTCGCAAAATGATACCCCAGCTCACAGTCCTTGATTTTGCTTGAAACCGTCGAAAAGTATTTGTAGAGGGCCCCGCCGGGGCCACGGCGACAATCTAGACCGAATACTTTACCCTGTGTTCCCGCGAATATAAAGAAGACCGGAGTGGAGAAGGCACAACCGTTTACTAGACAGCCCAACCAAGTTGTGTCGTGGACAATTACGGTTCAGTGGACATTTTCAAAAACAAACACAGGTGTCTGTGAGATCACATGACTAAACTGGGTGGTGGTGGGACATGCAGAGGGGTAAATGAACCAGCGGCCTCATGTGACTGACGGGCAGGTTGTGAGAAGGGGGGACGTGTGCTGGAAGCTGCGAGGACTGGGTGTTTATTGGACATGAATCAACAGGAATCCCTACATATTGTGTGCAGGTGTTGATTCAAAAACTACGATTTGCCGCAGCACAGTTCAAGCACCGTTTCAGTGTTGCAGCCCTCTTTTCGGCTTGTGTTGGTTTCAGATCTACGTTTGGTTCGACGCTCTGATGAACTACCTGACGGCTGGAGGCGTCTCGTTCACCGCAGATGGCAATTCGCAGGCTTTGTGGCCACCTGACATCCACTTTGTCGGCAAGGATATTCTCTGGTAGGCTAACTAATCCTCTCACGATTACATTGGTTGGGATACAAAATCAGCGAACTGCTGTGTGTTGGACAACCGGCGGAAATGTGAGGAGTTGGAATGCAACACTTTATGACAAAATTGGCCCATCTTGTCCGGTACTCGGGTATAATCCCAGAGTTGGTCTTCGAGTTGGTTTACAGACTCACAAAACCACTACCTTGGTGTCATGTCGATGTGTCCACGAGTTTACAGTATCCCAACGTAGCGTTTGATGTACTCCTAACTTAACTTAGCAAACGTCGTGCCGTTAAAAGTCAGTCGTGCGCATTGGTTTCGGACTGTACGGTAGAGTGAATTCGAGTTATGGGTGCATGCAATTTTAGAGCTGATTAAAAACATCCGACGACGTTTTCATCACGCTTGATGAGCATGATTTCCAACGCCGTAAATGAGCTGTGTTAAGTGCACGCATTTCATTGCTTTTAGCTTCCACGCGATTCTCTGGCCGGCAATCTTAATGGCTCTAGATTTGCCCCTACCAAAGAAGATCATCCCCCACGGCCACATCCTTGTCGGGGGCACAAAGGTACGCCAAGTCAGCTGGCTTTCACGAACCCTACAATCACGAGCTGTTCTCGTGTTCAGCAAGCCTTCATTTAACCTTGCCTCGAAGCGGTCTCCACGGGGTGACCTTGATGTGATCCGTAAATTGCCATACACCCAAACCTTTCATAAATGGGTTCTTGGAGTAACTGAATTTTAGTCTTGAAAATCAAATATACTTGCAAGTTATTAAAATATTTTAGTGAAGGGGAAGGTCAAAACACTAACCCGTGCACGTGTTTCGCGTGGAAGTTAAATGCTTGTCTCATTCCGTGTACCTTCACTACCAGACTAGGCGCGAAATAGACTTGACCCTGCAACATTGCCAGTGAAGACCAATCGTTGCGTTCGTCCCACGGGAAATGCCATGAGTCTAACAATGTCTGCGGATTGCTGTTAAGCCTCTCCGTTCTCCCGTTCTTTCCATCCACAAAGTTGTCTCTTTATCTGAATGGCATTGGATTATGCTTCATCGAACCGTTTGATATCATGCGAATGTAAAACAGGCATTAAGCCCAATTCATCATTGTCCCGGCGTACAACTTTCTGCTAGCGAGAAAGTTCAACCGTCTCCTTACCGGAAAGTTTAGTTTAAGTGAACGAGAAAAGGTCTTAACAAAGCTGAAATAACCAAGCGGTCCGCAGTGGCAGCCCCTTCAAGTTTTAGCACCAAAGTGGGGGTCGCTTTCGTAAGATAGATGTGTTACCACTGTTGTCATTGGGACTGCGCCGATTGCTTTCAGATGTCCAAGAGTCTGGGAAATGTCCTGAGTCCGGCGGACGTGCTCGGCGACTTGTCTCGCGCACTTTCTGTGTCTCCAGTCCACGGGGAGGTGGACGCCGAGTCGGTTGCCTCGGACTGCCTTCGCTACTGCCTGGTACGCAGTGTGTGCCTCAACGAAGACACCACCTTCAGTCTGCCCTTCGCCAAGGAAACCGTCAACACTGAACTCGTCAATTGGCTGGGAAACCTCCTCTCCAGGTAGGTGGGGGGGGCCCATCATGCTGTCTTGAGCCGCGCCGGGCCTACTGCGTCGCAGCCAGGCCGGTTACGCTACCCTGGGTACTCGCTAAGATGAAAAAGACCGGAGAGGACGAGGCACTGACGTTCACTAGACACCTCAACCTGGTTGTGATGTGCTGACTGACAGCTGAGTGGACTAGTTAGGAGGCAGAAGTCTGGGTGGTCACACGGATAGAGCGGGCTGTAGGGGTTGTACATGAAGAGGGGTGAATGAGCGGGCTGTCCTAGTGACTGACGGCGCGCTGTGAAAAGGAGGACGTGTGTGTGAGGCCGCGATGACCGGGTTATTGGACGTGAATCGACACGATTCACTACAGGGTCTTGCTAAAGTGCCCACCAAACCACTCTCTTCATGCACGTTGCGATGACGAGACGTTAGAACTAGTTCTCATTATGTCAGTTAAGGTAGTGATGGGGATTGTATTCAGGTTAGGCCCGACCCATGACAGTATTCTTTTTTTATTTTCATAGAATTACCTCCAAGAAGATCGCACCGAACCAAACCGCGCCGATGCTAGACCTCGCTGAGGCTCAGCAGTTCCTGTCTGCGCCTGCGGATGCCAAATTTTTCAATGAGTGAGTTTGTGCTCCTTTTGTGACTCGGCCGCCTCAAAATTGCCATCGCAAGAGTGCATGTGGGCCTTGGGTTGAGCACAGGTGCGTTCACTTATCCTAAATTTCACCAAAATTATGGAAATCCGGTCTAACGCTAGTGTAATATGCAGCCCTGCACCATGCTGAAGACGAGAGCATGTCAAAACCTCGTCTTGGGGAGTTGTGTGTTTTGGGCAGACGCCGTCAATCTGCTGACAAGCCGCTTCAGCCAGGTAACCACATTCAAGCAGCCTATTTCACGGTCCCAACTAATGCAAGTCGTCACCTTGTGAGGATAGAGATTGCTTTTCTCCTGGCGTTGCTCGCTCCTCCCAATCGATCCAGACAAACTTTTCAGTTGCCAATCGCAATGCATTGCAGGAGCCCTGATTTGCGTCCATGTGTACCCCCGTTGAATTTTGGCTTCCATTTACCTCATACAGCAGTCAGGCTCTACCAACTTGTCCATTGACTTGTTGTGGGCCCCAGCATGTGGTCTTGAACCACGCCGAGGCCACGGAATTAGCTCTGGCCCGATTACGCTTCCCCGATACCCGCGATGAAGAAAAAGATCGGAAAGGACGTGGACACAACCGTTTACTTCAGAGCTCAACCACGTTGGTGTCGTGTGTGGGGTTGGCGCGTGTGTATTTACCTCTGATGTGTGAGTCATACATACGCTAACATCGAGACTTAGGTGTGAGGACAATCCAAGGTAGATATTCGTGTGGATGAAGGGGGAGTTGAAGATCCTCGCGGCTGGCGTCATGCTGCTAAAAAGGGGAACCCTGTGTCGGAGGCGGAGCGATCGGATTGAGGGATGTGAATAAACACGATTCACGACAGACTCAATGTGGTCACTAGTGGACTTCTCGTCGCAATTGATTTGTCCGATCACGGGGTTTGGCGTTAGTCGTCCTCCAAAAGAGCGTTCAAACCGTCCTCATCGAGGTCTACCGGACTTCTGGATTTCGTCGCGTCTTATCCGTTAAATGACTACTCCATTATCAGGGTTGAACATAACTAAACGCTCAACTTCCGATGGAGCGTATGTAAACGAATTCTTAAAGACTAGAGACTTCGTTTCTGGACCACGTGCATCGAGTAGATTTGTTTCTTAATAAAGTATTTCTGGCCTTTTCAAGAAATGATTTGCTTGTGCAGGGTAGCATAATGCCTCGGTGTGCCTTTTAGTCTTTCGCAGCTGCCTTTTGTCTTCGACGACTTTTGGTGGGATCGCCTGCTGCCGAACCGGTCGGTTGACGCTGTGATGCACGTGGTGCGACAGACCAACGCCTTCGTGGACCGTCACAAGCCGTGGGCGGCGGGAGGCGATGGCGACGCGCAGGCGGTCGTGGGAGTCGCCCTGGAGGCCCTCCGATTGGTTGGGTGCTGTCTCTCACCCCTCACCCCCTACCTCTCAAACCGCCTCCTCAACTGCCTGGGGCTTCACCCTGGCAAGTTGAGGGGCCACTCGTGGCGGTTGGATTTGACCCACCAACCCTTAATCCCACGGCTTAATGTGTGATTTGTATTTTCTGTTATTACTCGGTTCTTTTTAATTTTCTTTCGTTTGGGGCTTGGTGGCACTGTTTGTTGCCGTTGTTGGTTTCGTTGCCTATTCTACTGCTTAGCTGTGTCTTCTGGGCTCGGCAATTGAGATATTTTTGGCGATTTAACATTCCCCAAGACGGATCATCGCTAAGCATTGTTTCGACAGTCATCTATGCATCTATCCACCTCGATCCATCAGATCAACGTCATCGTTGACTCGTACAACCGAGCGGATCCTGAGACGTCACTGGCTGAGCTGCTAAGGGCTCTGCACGCGTCCATGTTTTTATCGTGTACTGGGAATGCGAGGTCTGGGGTACCTGGCTATCTGAGCGTGTAATTCGGTCTTCGGACAATACGTAACGGAACTTATCACAAAATCGATTCCCAGTCGTTCCCCCTTGTAGCAGCGTGGATCGAGATACATGCGTGCTTCATTTGACCGTCATCGGCAACTCACGTGGCAGATGTCCCCTAGCAACAATAGTGGTCTGGAAGGCTACTAGTCGTGTGTTCTGCGGATGTTGAAGTAACGACATGCTAATTAGAGGGCGCATTTACAGAATAGCGATAATGTGGCAGTCTAGTTGCGGGTGTCAGTCGCCATTAACGTTGGATCCAGTCCCTGTGTGATCGATCTACCAAGTCAGGCAGAAGGCGATGTCAGGGTTTCTCTAGAATAGGCTGCTGTGCGACTTTAAGTAGTATTGTACTTCAGCAGATTGATATATTAACTGCTGCAATGAAAGTGCGGTGCTCTAGGTTTGATGTGTTTTGGTTGTGGCTGATTTAACAGAAGCCCTGGTGCGGTGACATGATTGGTCCAGGCCAACTTGATGGTGATGCGGCGAAGGTGTTACTTGGTGCGGGATTGGGGATGAGAAGAGATTGGAGAAATTGGTGGAGTCCATCAGGGGCTGACTTGAGGGCTCCCTCGTCTGCGATCGAGTTGGCAGACTCGGATGTTGGGGGTGCTGCGGAAGGTGGCAGGGGAGACGAACTGTCTGTAGATTGTGGCGGCTGTCTTGAGATTGCTTCCATGTTTGCAAGAATGGCCTCGGTGGCTGGATGTAGGGCCCAGTAGGGGCTTGTTTGGAGGATGCGTTTAACGGCAATGAAATTTCCTGTCTCGGCGAGTAGTTCAAGGCCGACGGCTGTTTGTCGCTTCCATTTCGTTCTGAAACAATAAGTGTAAATAAATTTGTACTAATAGCAATTCAGTAGGCAGTGATCGGCCTGTAAATATCCCGAAACCGCCAGCATCTCCACTTAGTTAACGTTGGTTATAAATTCTGAAATTTGCTTATTCAAGGCGTAAATCGGGTACGACAATAAACAGCTTAGATTCTATGGACTGTGCATTTCGATGGTATTCTTCTTCACTTCTATAAGTGATCACTGGGATCATGGTTACGCCTTCGAATTGGTGGCTCTTTCACACAAGAAGGGGGTCCACTAACGAAATGCCAGCCACATATTAAGTAAAGCAAAATCAGTGATTTAAGGTGCAAAACTAACCTGCGGTTTTGGTACCACGTCTTAACTTGTGTGTCGTTTAGCTTGAGCCTGTTGGCTAATTGGATTCTGTCCTGCACACTGAGGTACTTTTGTGATTCAAAGTTCCGCTCTAACTCAGTCAGCTGAGAGTCTGTGAACGCCGTCCTTGCTTTGCGAGGCTTTTTTAAAAGCCCGTCGTCGGATTGGTCAGCCGTGCTCAAAAGTTGTTGGGATTGGCTGGAGGCATTCTTTACAGCAGTGCCTAAAATGTAAGGGAAGTCTTCGTGGGTTCCGATTTCCTGTGGCTCTTCGCCAGGATTGTCAATTTGTGAAAGAATAAGTAAACCCTTAAAATCCCTGGGGAAGTCGAAATGGCCAGAAATGGTGGTAGCACCTAGTAGACAGACGAGTCCTGTTGTGTAGGGATAAAAATGAACAGCTCTCATTGTACAGCATTCAGCCAATGAAAATCGAAGCTTTGTAAGTGGAGGGTGTTAGCCAGAGGTTAAAGTTGACCAGGAAGCGTGTACCCCACGCATTTAGACCGCTTACAGATTGGCACTACTACCATGAAGCCCTAAGACCTATCTACTTTAAAATGCCGAAGGTTATTTAATCCGATTTCTTTAATTTAGGCCAACTGCTGCATTGCCTTCCGCATTCTTATTGAAATCAGTTTTTTTCTGGAATAGGGTGGAATTACTGACGTGTTCGCTTACATGGTTCATTCATACTTGTTTACCTCAGTACTCTCCTGGTTGACATCGGTACCTCGAAACCGCCCCTAATTGGTGGTCTGAAGAACATCCGATGTCATTGTCCGTCAAATATTTGCCTCTTAAAGAGTTTTTTTTTAATTTCTGAAGTAGATGCAAACGTGGTAGAGTATACGCCAAATCACTTCCCAACTAGGCTGCATTAAAGTTCTCAATTTAAGCGTGCGAAGTCATGGCTTTGTCTTGATGGAATGCGACCACTTTGCGCTTCGCCTACCGTGTCCATTTGTCTTTAATCGGTGCTTCAATTTTCATTGGCTGCTCGCATTCCACAATTGATTTGATCCTCTGAGACAACTCGAAAATACCCAACGCATTTCTGCTTCAACCACACTGACAGTGTCGTCTATTTTGGTCCAGTTTTATCTTTCGATGTGGTGCGTGCTGATTGATGTTAGTATGGACGAAAAACCTAGTCGTTGTCTTGAGTGAGTTCATACAGAACCCAAATTTCAAGGTTTTTCACTGGGTCCAAGACGCGTTAGGTCGCGATACATCTAGAAGCACATCCACGTTCATTTGCTCAATTGTGACAACGATCTGATTTGACTCGTGGTTTTGACCTTCAGTTCCGGTGGGTCCATCAAATTATCGGACCATTTTGAGGGAAATACCCCCGGGAAGAAATATTCTAACAAATTTTTCACGTGTTTTCAAGCAGACAATAAACACCACGTAAATTTCAATTCTCAGGAACTCTCTTGCTCTTAGAGCCATTAGAAGTGAGAGGTATCAAAAAAGTTTAGGTTTAAATGTACCCTTAAGTGACAGATGCAAACAAAACTTCGTGTGATTTTACTGATAAGGTGTTAAATGGCAAAAATGGAAACCTTGCCAGGTGCTTTTCAAATCGAACACAGCCCTATCTCCTCACAAGAAAAACCCGGATTGCCTTCTTGGACGATAGTACTTTAATCATGCAGCTTATTCAGTACCTGCGTGTGTGTGTGAAGAATGAGTTAGCCAACAAAAACCCCGGGTCCCATGGGCATCAAATAGCAGGCATGAGATACTTTTGCCTACTGCAGCCTCTGACTGCTGGGAAGATGGACTTCGGTTCTCCAAAAACTCCCCAAAATCGATATGTTCGTTTTGGTAGACCAAACGGGCCGCTTTGCCAAATCGACTACTGAGTTCCTCTGTTAGAATAACCTGTAGGTGTGAAACAAATTCGGCATACTCTCGATTTGCATTCTTCAATCTACTGGCGTTTGCCACCCGCCTACACTTCAGTAAATGTCCGTTTTATAATAAGACACTCTTGTCAAATTTAATTAAAAAATATTTATAGGAGATAGATTTGGTGGAAGGTGAACAGGATGGGACCGACTACTTGAGCGCAACTAACAAGAATGCCTACACAGCTCACCGTCTGAACCCGCATCTGTACGCACGCCTTCAACCAGTTCCCCCTCAGTCGCCTTCGGGCTTTGCCTGGAATCCTCAGGTGTGAGAAGGTCCCGTATCATGAAGGATGGCACTCTAGTGGTCATTCTCTAGATGCCGTGTCAGCAACTGAAATGGGTGCTGCGCAAGTCGACGTTTACTGCGCACCCTCCTCCTACCCTTCCCCCCCCCTCCACGCTATAGCCATCTCAAACGCCTTCACGAATGAAATTGCTTGGCCGGGGGAGGGGGCAAGGCTACGAAGCGTCAATCGGAATTGGCTGAGCCGAGAGCGTGCGCACACGTGCATCTGCGCGCATTACTCCAAGTGCACTGGTGATTGGCTGACATTGACCAATTAAAGTGCCCGCGACGGTTGGAGTTTGTGCTACCTGGTTATGGCAAATTTCCACGGCCCGGAAAAAATCAAATTAACAACCTCTATATTTCCTCAGAACTGATGCGCTGTCGAGCTCTACATTAGTGAATTTTTGAGCCCCACATTGCCAACTTGTCAACCACGATGGTCGGTTCTACATACTGTTTGAATCATGCTCAACATGCAAATTTGTAGATTTTGTGATACATGCAAGATTAGCAGCTAAAAAAATGCGAAAAGGTGAGAATTACACTCTGCTTGGATACAAGTAGCGAGGGATCGCTTTCATCGCGAGGGCTTGAACATGCTACCCCGATCGACTATCTGACCAACCAATAGCATCTGCGATAACTGCACTGAATCCTCCCTTTGTTGTGGCCAAGGCGTGTTGACTGCGGATCGAAATCAATGCTCCAAGTTTGTCCTGATTAAACACGTTCACATCTACTGGTGTTGAACCGAGTCACGGGTCACTTTAGGCACCGACATCTTGACAAAAGCAGTCATTTGAAGAAGGCGATATGTGTGTGAATGCTGAGTGACCTGGAGCTCAGAAATGGACAGTTTAGTCTAATTAATTTCAAGCCGTGAATAATTGGACATGTCTCTCACTTGCTGTAGTGTTGTTCGAGTGGGGAAAACAAAATGTTCAATGAATCGACTTGGTGGGAGAGAAGGTAATTCTTCCTAAAACGAGGATGTAACGAAGAGAGTTACAATTCACCTCCAAAATGTGGCTTTGGGTACTGGTACTGTGATAATTTTCTTAGACGGACAAAAGGATTAGTCAAGAGTCGCACCTTTCTATTCATGAAATGACAAAATAACGCCTGTGGACGACGGGTTACTTGATGTTGCACTAGCGACAAATCCTGACAACCATTTCGCAACCTAAGTTGTTGCGGATAGCCGTAGCAGTGATTATTATAAGCATACAACTCTAATCAACTCACGCTATTCCAGTTTTTGCCCATTGGCAACACCCTTCTTCCGAGTCGGTTAAATTTACTTATTAATGGATTAATTTAAGTAAAAGTAAACTGCACCGTGTGTTTCTGTGAAGCCAAGTGGTTTTTAGGAAGGTTAATTCAACCTCACGTGAGGATTCATTGTACATTCACCAAATTCAGATCAGTCTATAGTGACTAAAGTTTTAAGGTGTTTAAAGCTTGTGACTTTGTTCGCAGCAGTTTAAACAAACCATTAAGAGGTAAATTGTGTGCGCTTGAACCGGTGACTGGTGGCTGGTGACTACCGGAGTGGGATTGCGAGACAAATGCGAACTCGTGTTTTGCTGCCGAGGTGCTCGAGGTTCCTCGAACGACAGCAACAAGCCAGGCACTTCACAGAAGTACTCAAATGTGCGAAAGGCCGCCAACAATTCTGTCGAGTGAACGAGTAATTGTGGATAGCAGAAAACGATCTATGAGGACTCGAGTGTAAACAAGGCACAGACTGGAGTTTTACTCGAACTAAGCCATGAAATTGCCATTGGTGGGATCGAACGGAATGTGAAAGCAAATGATTAGTAGGCCCTGCCAGCTAGGCGTTTCGAGAGCAGCAATCCAAACGAAACTTCGGGAACTGACCAATATTCCTAGTGTCAATGGCGTCTAGACGGCGTCAAAAACCCCGCGTGGTGTTGACAACCAAGTAGTAACAGTCGGTCATGCATTATCGAATTTCCTCGCTTGTTTAGAAAGACTATCAGACGACCTGGTGTGCATGTTTTGCGGTAAAAGCACAAAGCTTCAAATCAAAATTTGCTCAATCTATTTTATTTTCGTCGACAACCAGCCATGGAGATAAGCATAATTCTACACGGTTTTTTAGAAATTTAAAGTGCCTTTTCTGCTTATTCACCTTGCAACCGTTAAAACACACAGTGAGTTAGTTGCATGTTCAAATGACCGTGAATTAGAGAGCATATTCGGTAGTGTAACAGAAAAAGTTGATTCCTTGACGCATTGATATTTCACTCCACCACCTTGCGGCTGCTGTGCCGCTGGAACCCACAGAGCTCAGCTAGGTACCTAGGAGTCTCACAGACAGAATCCATGTACAAGAAGCAATATTGGTCATCGATCATTGACGCGTGTAAATGGACTTGGAATTTTGGTGTGACGGTCGATTGTCGAACTTACTAAGAAGAATACCTACGACGAACTCCCAACTGCATTTGCTTAGGTCGCAGTCCCTCCCTGGTGTCTCGTGCCACAACCAATCATACTGCCCAGCCTCGACCTTGACACGAGGTTCGAGTGGATTGGGTGCTAGAGCGACGAATGTTCGCAATTTCGCACCCACGCTTCACACGTGCTGGACAGTCAGCGTGGACACAAGCACTGCGCCGTTCACTTCCACTGTCGCATCATTTTAGATTGAGATAAGTGGTTTACACGTGTGCACTGCCACCGGCACTGCACACGCCTGCCCAGACAAAACCGATTTCCGGAGGACCGGGGACGGTTGTTAGTAGGTGATTACCATCTACATTCTTTCTGTGAACTGTTCATTGCCCACTGTTATGTGCTTTTAAAACAATAACAATTGGATTGTCGTGAATCCTGTTTATTCGACCCCCTAATCCGGTCGCTCCACCTCCTACACAGGGTTCCCCTTGTCGCAGCAAGTCGCCAGCAGCTCGAATCCTCAACTCGCTCCTCATTCACACGGATGGTTATCCTGGGTTATCCTTACACCTAGGTCTCGATGTTAGCGCATGTATGACTCACGCATCCGAGGTGTAAATACACACGCGCAAACCCCACACTCGACACAACGACGCCAACGTGGTTGACCTCTGAAGTAAACGCTTGTGTCCGTCCTCTCCGGCCTTTTTCCTTCATCGCGGGTATCAGGGAAGCGTAATCGGGCCAGGGTTAATTCCGTGGCCCCGGCGTGGTTCAGGACCACATTCTGGGGCCCACAACAGGATTATACTCCTAGCAGATCTCTGGAAACAAATCGCATGACACCCCTCAAACGAACAAGTAAAGACTCCAGTTGGGGCACAATGCAAACATACAAATTTCCGACCAGTAGGTTCATGGAGAGGAGTGGGTTGTTGCTGAGGAAAGGTCACTTTTATGTGTGTCTGCTGGTTCAACCGTTACTTTAAGGCATGCACTCACCAAGTCTGCTTTGAAAAGCGACATTTTACCGCGCAGCTTAAAAAGGAAATGTGGTCGGGTATGCAAATTGTATTTAGGGCAAAGCAGCCAATTACAGACAGGCGTTATGGTAACCAGGTGGAGAGCAAATAGTCAGCCACAGTTTGCCGGGGTATGTCTAAGCCCAAGTTCACCCGGTTGGCTACTAAGACGCTGATCTCCAGTCCTGGATCGCAATTTTGACCTAGCCAATTAGGCGTGGCTGCCAGTTTGCAAGGTGACGATTCGAGTGAGTGTTGGCGTTGATAGCAAAAAAAGCACGCAGAGGTTGAGTGAAGCAAGTGTTAGCAGACTGATAAGGCGACCTTAGTAAAACAGAGCTGAACAGTGTTGGTCATTGTAAACGAGAAACAATTGAGATACCAGCTCCCTAGCCGACAAGGAATCTCAATTGCTACTTGATGGTTTAGCCTAATTTGGGCTTATATAATCACAGGGTTGTATGCACCGACGCGCCAGGTCCCCGTAATTTCTGTGGTACCAGCACGCCAAACGTTTGGTGCGGGGCGGCAGAGGATGAGCTGGTTCTGCGAGCAGCCATTGTCTCTTGGTACTTCTATTGGAAAGATGAGTATTCCGTAATAACTTTCGGTAAGGCCTGTTTTTGGCGGAGGGCCGTTGTTCAGAAGAACTACGACACATCGTGCGTGGAGGTGGTGGAAGCAATGGTCGGTCTTTCGACCTGCAGTTAAAGACAGGAGGGGCCAGTACCGATTCGGCCTCCGACATCTGTTGGGTGGAGACACGTTGTTCAGAAGAACTACGGCGCCGCGTGGACGCAACCGAAGGCGATGCCGATTCCATCTGCTCGCAATACGAATGCAGGCACTTGAGGACTTCCAGAGCTCCCGAAGCCTGCGGGGTGGTGAACTGTTGTTGAGTAGGATCCGGACGCCTCGGGGCTAGGTGTGGAAGCAAAAGTTGCGCTCTCGACCTACAACTCGAAAGAGCGGAATCCAAGGCCGACCTGACCTCCAGCATATCAAACAAGCTCCATTCCGATGTGTCGGACGCGTCGAATCCGTTGATCGGTGCCAGACCGGGGGCCAAGTGAGGCTGGGTCCCTGGTAAAAAAGTGTCCAAACTTTGCATAATGTCTGCGCAGACTGCTAACTGGTCGAGGGTACAACGGTGAATCCTAGGAAGTAAGACGTCCCGCGTGCTAGGTGGCAGGTAAAGAAGAAAAAGCCTCTTCCAGAAGGGCTCCACCAAGAGGTTACCGCCGGCAATAGAGCGCATCTTCCTCAACATCTCTAATGGTTTTTGGTTGGATATTTCGCCCGATGTCCACGCCTCGAGGATGCGCTCTGAAATCCGCGTCTGGATGCTTCTCAAGACGGCGCTTTTAAGTTGGGTATATGAGCTGCCGGGTTCAGGATTCGCGGCCACCTCGGACACATCCTTGGCCACGTCCAAAGGCAATGCCGAGGCGACGATCTCGTACATCATGAGTTGATCTGTGATGTTGTTGGCCTGGAACTTTCCCTCCACAACCTGAAACCAAGCTGCCACTGCATCCGGCCAGAACGCGGGCAGTTCCAAAATGTTGCCTGCCCCGACTAAAAAATATGACTTTTGACTTTGGTCCATGCCGAGGACTAAGGGACGAACGTCAGACTTGTAGCCTGTCAGACGGAGTTGTGAGCAGCGACGATGAGCGAAATGCTGATCTCGAGTCAGTTGATTTTATCTCATCGCTGGTCACTATTCTACCCAGTAATCATGAATTAAACACCACTTAACGTGGATTTTCTTTGCAAATCATTCTAAGCAAAAGACGTAGTGTTTTCACACAAACCTCTTCCGGTCACATCATAGATTTTCGTGACTTCCGTGTAATTTTATTAAGCATAGATCGCTCTCAAAACAGTTTCTCTCAGATTTGAAATTGCACTCTAATTTTTTAACAACGGCAACAGCAATTATGAATAAACGTTGCCTTAGACTTCTGCATTTTATGTTTACGATGTTCTCTAAATTACGAGTAGATGTCTTCAAAAAGAATTTAGCGGACCTGGAATGAAATTCGGTGGAGGTGAATTTGGGGGATACACTTGCGTTAGTACCACCTTGCAGTTTTTCTCGCGTTCTCGCCCGTAAAACCTTTACGGTAGAACCACTGGCTGCGTGCCTTTTTGGCTTATGTGCATTTTTTTGGTTTTTGTTAACGTGTCGAAATCGACACTCTAAGCTATGAGTGAATAGCTCGTAGCCAATGACTAGTGATCACGACCGATTTGAGTATCGATTACTTGCATGATCAGATTGTAGACGAGGTTATCAGCTGTAGATGACCTTGGCTTTGCCACACGCGGTGACGGTGTGAAAATCCTGTACTGAACTGGTTCTTCGACGAGACCTGGGAGTTGTTTGCTGACGCAAATCTCTCCCACAAGCACTTGGCAAAGCCACAAATTTTGACCTCTTCAGAGTTAAGTCTCACTTTTCGACTGAAATACACCAACTAACTTAGAGATTTGCGTGATGCTAGAAATTTTTACACGCGTTGGACACGCTGCAGCCTGGGTCGAAATTCGTTGATGCGTTCAAACAGTACCTGAAACGCACCTAAGCAGTTAACACACAAAATATTGACATTATCAAGCAAATATTTTTCCATTTTTATTGTAGATACGGTCATATCTAGACCGGCATTCCATTGACCAGCGTTTTGTAGTAGTATCGTGAGATTCACTAACCCCTCAGTAGATGGTTTGATCTAAGTAAATATGCACCTTATTTGTCCGCCATGTTCCAAATTTACACAAGGAAATCTGGCTTTTTTCAACTATGTGATAAAATACTAATGCCAATAACAGTTAACCTTAAACATGCCATTTTAATCAAGGTTCTATGAACTGCGTATCTGGCATTCTGCCGCCACTTAAGCTAACCCAAACACTGGGCCAATTTGGTGGAAAATGTAGACACGAATCGCCCAAATTTCGCATTTTCGAGACTGTGTTAGCGTGTTGTCTGTTGTTATTTATAGCTATTGTGGTTCATTTTACGTCTAGTAGCGTTAAATAGAAGCATTCTCGCACTCTGATGTCTCAAATACTTATTCACCAGTTGCAAAACTTGTTGTGAAATATCGACGAACCTAGTTTCATTGGATCTGCTTTTATGTACTCAAGAAATCGGTAGTTCTGATACTCACTTGTGCACACATGTTCGGTCACTTTAAAGGGCTATTTCCAACTGAAATGACCTTTCGGTGCTGAGTTTTTGAAAGAACCCTACGAAAGGTCTTGTCCAGACAGTAAATACTTCTTCAAAATGGATCGGGATCATCTGCAAACTGTATAGCAGATTGTAACTGTTCGAATCATCGCCTATTGACGACCGACTCCTGCTTGAACACCAATGTCCCCTGGGAAGAGAACTTCGTATTGACCGGCTCTAAAGTTGCAACTTCGTAGCGGCGGCACGAGGCCGCCACTCCAGCCAGGCAGCACCTTACTGGAGGCATCAGAAGAAGCCGTGGAAGGTGGCGTATCGAGCTTTCCACCGCCCCCCCTCCCCTATCAACATCATCTTTTTATGAAAAGAAAACGGAAGGCGTTGTGAGAGCTTAGTGAGCCGGAAATAGTTATCAGAGTCTGCCTCATTAGTCGTTCTCCGCTAGCACGACCCTCCACCCACACAACACAGCCCTATCAGATGGCCTGATCTGTGTTTCCGTCCTGCTGGAGAGGCGAGGGGGTGAGCAGGAGGTGGGGCGCCTGCCCTTGCTACCACTTAGGCATCGTTTAGTCCCACGTGGCTATGGCAACCGCATTGTTACCCGTTCTCTGCCCTTGTTCCTCACCCCGGAAACACACAGGTGGGGAAGGGGGTGGTGGTGTGGGTGGGGGAGACAGCGCCTACCACCATCATTGTGTGAGCGCGGAGTGAACTAATACCGATATTTAACTACCGGAAAGCAATATACAGTAGATCTTTCTGTCTTCCCCTCACCCCGTTTCATGCACACACAGAAAATTGAAAGACAACACAATGTCCTGGACTTCCGTTTTGGGCGTTTGTTTTGTGCAGTAGAAAGGGGATAGATGCATTAAAGTTAATGCCAATTAGACTGTGGTAGGAAAAAAAGGCGCTTAATTACGGGGTTTTGGTGAGTAAAAGGGAGATTTTTCGGCGATGCATGCCACTGGGTGTTTGGTGGTGGCGTTGCAAACAAACGTGGTTTTAGTTCCATCCAAAGGTGTGGCGTTTCTCCACATTTCGCTTTCAACAGAAGCACGCTGCTAGATTCATTCTGTTGAGGGCTGTTGATCGTTTCATCGTCGCCTCATTGGCTCGTAATGCGGCCTCCGAAGTCGTCTAAAACTCGAGTTTCGGTGGCTGTAAGTGCGGCAACTTTGTGCCGAGTGTGAAAGCAACTTTGGTCCAACTTAGAGAAAACTCGTGCAGCAGAAATGTATCAACACCGTGCTGTTCAGTTGGAGTGGACCCTGTTAACGCACAGCCATGACGAGCACTTGGACAATTAGTCTGCCACTCCGTCGGATCGCTTTCCTCGCATGTTGGATTTGTTGAACTGAAGTCTTCATCAGCGGACGCCCAAAAGAGTTGATGGTACATTTTGACTAACCCCAACCGCAAGCACGTCGAGTAAACGGCTGCTCTATGGGTATTGAGGGTTGAGATGCATCCTGCTAACTGCCACAGACGTCCGCTCAATGCGACCGGGTGTACGCAGTGAGCCGGCTAACCGGGTTCTTTTATACGGCTTCGTTCCACAACTTTATCTCACGGACATGCAGTAGCCCACTGTCACCATGAATGGATCTTACGCAGTAACCAAACCTCACCAATGTCAACTTCGCAGGGCTGTCATCGAAAACTAACTGACTTTGTCACTGAAGGAATTCAAACTTGACAATTTCCGACTGGTTTATTTATAAATTGACTGGAGATGGTTTTCCGGAAAAGTCAGTGATTAAAGCAACTAGGTAGTCGGGTTTGTCTCAGCTGATCCCGCGCCTTACGAAGACGTGCTGATGAGACACAGGAACATTTGTCTCAAAGTTTAAAGCTTACAACACCACGACTGTTAGTATAACATCGGTTTTAATAACCAAAGCGAATTATACACCGAATATTTAGATCAAAATTACAGTCTACTGATAAATAGTCAGTAATTCAAAATTTACTTTATTTGCTGGTCGATCAAGGATGGCAAGTTTGCAGCACTGAAATCGGTCAAACATGTTTTGTGGTGCCCATGAAGTGAGTTTTTTAGTGGACACACAATTAGCACTAACACTGAAGGCCTGAAAAATGAAATTTTGTAGGAATGTGTGGCAGTTAACAAGATGAATCCGGTAATAAAGGGCGAATGGTGAAAAGCCAGCAAGACAAGGTCAACGCAATCGTCCACTCATCAACAAGACTAGTTCGTTTTTAGGTGGATGCAGTGTGCAACTAGCAGTCAAAAGTCTGTGTTCAAGTCACCAAACAGAAGGCGAATTAAGGTCGTGATAAGTAAGGAAAATCTCACGCGGGAGCGTCGGCATGAATCGCCTAATCGAATTCCCACCGTCACTAAGAATAATCGGTAACCGAATGTAAATGTAATGTTGGCTATTGAAAAGGCATTCAGCATTCAAATATTCTGTCTTGGGCGATTTGACTTCGGTTTGATCTCACTCGCGATCCATCTAGTAGGATTGACCAACAAAATTGCACCCTCTCTACCAATAGGCGCATTCTTCAGCAACAAAAAGCATTAAAAGTTGATTAGTAAAATACAAAGCAAGTGGGAATTCAGCCTCTCAAATTCAACGCCATGAGGATTTGGACAATGAGTGCTTTACGAAATTTCTGTAGGTTTTTAGTAAATAATCACGACGTGAATCACGATATTGTTGAAACTCAAGAAGGAGGCGTTAGTGGCAGATACACTTAAGCAAGCTGCTTATTAAACATGTCTTCAATGTTCCCTGTTAGCTACGAGCAAGTTACTCTTACGCTCAACTCCCTGATCCATGCTCAAACCTGTCACTTATCGATTTTCGTGAATTTATTTTTAAATATAAATTGATTGTTGATGAACAAGGCTGTAGAGACAGTCTGAATACTGCACGTCTCATATGTGGTTGGAAAAGCGTGTTGTGTGATGGACCTGTCAAGCAGACCAAGAAGGTTTGAATTTACGTGGCCTAATCAGTTCGCACAGATCAACTAAATAAAATAGTGTTTCAAATAGCCTGCGTACTCGCAAAAACTCAGTAGTCATACTATTAACTTGAATGCTGGATCGAGAGGTAATTTACCTGCAGAAACAAATAGCTAGGTGCCAGAAGTATGTAAAAAAATCCCACAAAGTAGCCTTAGCTAGCAGAGGCATTTGAAAATACATCCTTAAAATGACCCTCTTTTTCTCCTAACTTGTTATGAGTAAATTGAAACTTAATTTAGGTGATTTCTCGAACAAAATCTCCTGGTAAAATCTACTTATGTAAAGCCTGGTGCAACGAATATGTAAAACACATCTTTGCAATTGAAAAATCAAGCAGGATTGCGTTTTTGCCAGAAGTATGTAAAAAAAATCCCATAAAGTAACCTTAGGTAGCAGAGACATTTAAAAATACATCCTTTGAAGGATCCTCCTTTTATTACAACTTATTATGAGTAAATTAAAACTTAATTTAGGTGATTTCTCGAACAAAATCTCCTAGTCAAATCGACTTACGCGAAAATGTAAACCACAAATTTTTACAAATTTTTTACAAATTTTTTTTGAGAAATCCATGCTGTGTGATAGCATAGAAGTTTTCCTTTTCAATAAAATTGGCCAGAAGATGATTGAACAGACTTTGAAAAGCCATGAATTTGGCTTGAGTTTAGAGTAGCCGCTTTCCCAAATGTAGTGAAAATTTGGATATTTATCGGATGGCCATGCATAAAATGTGGTTTGTTGAACCCTTCTACCAACGCAATTCCAGCTTATCATCTACGCCACGTTAGAGATTGAGAATGAGAAGTGAGACAACGTTTGCTGCTTAATGTTTGATAATTCGCAACTTGTCATTGGTTATTTATGCCAAGTGATTTTATTGGCTTAGGTTTGGCATTCCTAATCTACACTTCCTTCGATAATTTAGCTCATGCCTAGGAACATGACTACCAAGCAATTCTGTGTAGTTGGACAGCAACCAAACTCTCCTACTAGTATAACTAATTAGTAGTAGTAGTAGGGATTTTCTTGGGGAACTTCAGCCTCCAGACTAAATGAATGCAGTGCAAGTTGCGTGACCGAACGACCCGCCAGAATGCAAATGCGCGACCTTGCCACCGTCACACGACACGAAAGTACACGGAAACACATTACCGCGGTCCCATGACGATAGTGTCAAGATACGGCAAAAATCGTACAGAATGCAAGGCGTTGGTACGCTTTGCAATTTACAGAGGTTTCAGGAAATCCTTAGATTCAAGTTATTTTTTAGAAAGCTGCGGTTTAAAAGGTGACAAATATAAGTAAATTGGAAAGAAATTATCGACACGAGAACATTTTAGACAAGCAAGCAAGTTTCTTGACAGGGAATTTATAATATGACTCTTCACAGCAACAGGCTGAAATTCTGAAATAAAAGTACGGAAAGCACGAAGAAAAACTTAGTATTCAAGACAAAATCGATGATTGATTAAAACAACAGCGACAAATCAGATATTTCCGCACGGATCTTCATTATTTTTAATTTCCACCCTTAAATTTAACAGATTTCGTCAACCAAATGCAAGGCTTTTTTTTCGTCCAGCCCATTGCATCACCGAGTTTTTTTTTATCATAAAATTTGTTTTTCACGTAAAGCAGAGTATTGCAGATCTATAAAATGTTTGAGGAGGCTGCTTTTCAAACAACAAAATGGTTTGTCTATCTCGGCCATTTTGAGGACGGCCAAGATGCTAAATTCCTGCAGTTTTTACGCTGTAGATCGTAATAAAGCCAATCCATAAATTCAGAAGAGGCCACACTTAGGCAAAATTGAGGCAAATTCGGCGTAAAATGAAATGTGGAAGAATTTGGCATTCCAACAGGAAATGGACGTTGCTAGGCAGCCATGCTGCAGTTAATTAAAACAAGCCACTGGCATGCAAGCCATGTGGAAGGGAAATTGGGACTCTTCTGGGTTAAAATAAACCACACGCCTATACATTTGGGCCTGTCACACTTAAATATGGTTTTCAGTGTACGCGATTTGCGAAACGTCTTGCTGTGTTTGAGATAACTTGTTGATTTCACTTGAATTAACTTTGGGGTCACGCACCCTTGTAAAAACACTCTTTTAGCGATCGATATTGATCGACTACGCTGGGACTGTGAACCAATTGGAACCGCGTTGTTTCCCTAAATTTTGTTTCATTTTGATTGGTAGACTCATTGAAGTAAAGCACGACTTTTAAGTGAGGCCAGACAGGCGATCGAACGCCTAGAACCTCATGTCCAGGTGTGCATACGTTTAGGAAATAATTGGTTGTGACTATCAATGGTTAATTTGTACGTTTTGACCTCCGATGCATCAAATTTCGGTAAGACCTCCGTCAAACTTGACGCCCGTCTTCAACTAACTTAATTTTTTTTTCATATATGTGATGCTTGTGTTGCAAATTTATCACCTCGTCTGGTGATCTGAATACAGGGAGAGAGACAGGAGGAGTTGGAAGTGATCTTCACAAGTACAAGAAAGGCCCTAAAAAAATTATCAGAAGAGTGCATCAGTGAGATTGAAATAGAAACCATAAATTCTGCCGCTTTCGCTCTCACGTGACGCTAGACACTGAAAGTACACAAAAATGTAAATATTTTTTTCTTGTGAGTGAAAGCCAAAATAGGCGCGACCTCGAAGGTTTGGGCATAAAAATATGCTTTCTGGTATCTCCTACTTCCGTGTGGAGAGCACGTGAAGACGTGCGTGTGTGCGTTTGGGCAGGCAGGTGGAGCGCGCACGCACACACATGTGAGTTTTTCCCGGAGGTCACGTGGTCACGTGTTTGAGAGGTGTTATTTAATTGCCCGGCCAGGCCCAGAATGCCACACAGCTTTTCAAGCGGTTCTCGTGAGATGGTGCACCTCCAAGCGACAGTCTTGCATTTGTTCTGTTGGATTCTAGCAACGGGTCTGGCAGCAAGCTATCCCAACTGTAAGACTCCATTGGTGTAATTTAATGCGAATTGGTAAACGATCGATAAAAAAAGCGAAATTGCGATAATCGATGGAAAAAGTTGAAGAGTTCTGTTATTTTTATGCCAACAACAGGTGAATTGTTGCATTTCTTGTTGCAAGTCCCCCTTCCAAGTGCTTATATCGCACCAAATCTGTTTCCATCGAGAAAAAAGTGAATTTCTTGATTGAATCATGATGTTACCAATTCTCGTGGTGGGAGTAGTCCAGGCGGTCGATAATTTCACAACTTACACATTATTTGGAAGTGGAATAGTTCCTCTACAAGATCGTCTTTTAACCGATCCTCACTTCATGTCCTGCGAAATGCCTAACTGTGACTTACGCCAATTCCTGGATATTTGCTTTGCTAGACACACTTGAACTGAAGGCGAACAGCCCGTTCGAGATATACGAACACTTCTACGGAAACGTGACTGTAAGCTATTGAAGTAGCGATGCTTTACTCTGTCCACAACCCCTCTGAAAGTCACAGGCTAAAATGCAGTAGGCCTGTTGTTGATATATATACAACAATTCTATATTATTATATATTGGTATATTTACAAGGCATAGGGCATTTCAATTTTCGGAATGATTTACATATTCACAAGTTACTACACCTTTACTTTGACTTTCACCAACGAAGCCCTTCAAAGTAGCGTTGATATGGAAAATGAAGAAATCGCAGCCATCGATTCGAACCAATTGAAAGCAATGTAAAAAGGAGTCAAAATTGAATGTTCGATGAAATAGCATATTGCCACGACACAAAGATTTACCATAACTGTTAATAACGCAGGAGTAGGCAATTAGTAATATTAGCAAACACGAATTTTATGGTAGCTCAACACTGAATTCGAGGTGCAGTTTTATTATGCAAGTCTTACAAAGTTCTAAGTAGACAATGGGAGCATAAATTTGTCCGTTCCTTAGTTACCATTACTCTGGCTTTGTTTCGTAAACCTCACCAAAAATATCAATAACACTGCAGAAACGCCATTGCATCAACATGAGAAATAATTTTGTCAATGATGTCACCATCTAAAGCTTAAGTGGAAGCCGGAAATGTATTTAAACAGCGAAGGTTAATTTTCGAGGGGATCAGAGATTGATATCTCACTAGAGTGAGGTGGCTACCTCGGGTATCAAGGGGATATCTAGTCAGGAGGGATGGATAAGGTAAGTTTTTGTGAACTCGAATTACCCTGACGAGGATACTATTCTCATTAAACTTGGTTAACACTAGTTAAAACCCGTATTGAAGACAAACGTCCCTACGCTGCTTGCATCCAGGTGTTACAAGTGTTTTAGTTAATTTGCTGGATAGCATTCCGACGATTAAAGAATTTGGCAACATTCAAACCAGCAATTTACACTTCGGACATGGGAGAGTGCAGGAAACTACGTTTCATAAATATTCTGTGATTTTAATAAAATAACTAATGTTTTCGATAAAGAAATTTGAATTTAGTCGCTGGTCTTAGCATATACAACGTTAGCGCCACAAACCACAAATTGCTCTGCCGTCGTTGGTCATAAAGTGGCTTTAAAATCTTAATTATCATCACCATCATCATCTCCGTTGTGAAATAGCGTCTTTTTGAGGTTACTGGGTAACTCCTGGTTCACAAAACCTTTACAAACGAATAACAACCACAGGATCGTTAAACCAGGTGGATAACCCTACTGGATTGGTAGACGACAAACTCCGTTTTCCAATGAAATTAAAATCAATATCATGAGCTACCATAAAATTTTGGGAACTCTTCAGCAAAGGAAGATTCACTTCACTTCACTTCATTCACTAATAGTTTGCGTAAATTAGCGCGACCAGTAGCCATCTCATTGAGTGCGTAGGGCCCTGGGAACTCGGGTGAGATAATTGTCTCCCGCTTGCATTCTTGTGAGAGCTTATTCTGCCACTCACAATACTTGAGAAGTTTTCCAAGAACACGTGAGTTGCTTATCGCCTCGTAAGCGTGATGCAGGACTTGGAAGGAATCACAAGAAATCCACGTTGGTGTAAAGTGCAAAGTACCACGCCATTTCAAGGGCCTTTCGACTGCAACAACCGCGACCGTCTACTTAGTCTTGGTGTCTGCGTGGTGAAATCGATAGGTCACTGACCAACAGACAACGGCGTGACCTTGAAAACTCCTACAAGACGGGGCAGAGTGCACTATCCTCGTCCCAGGCTCCCATAAGCGAGGAATTATCGATGATTTCTAAGTAGATATGCCCCATTCTAAGAAGATGTCTGAAAGCGGACTTTCTGTCTACGCATAAGGTTTGCTGCTTGATGCATTTTAGCGTCTGTTAGGCGCCCATAACCAGATTTGCACTGCGACACAGCAGGTTTGGCGTGGCTTCAACTAAAAGTCCACATGAGAGTGAGGCTTCGAATCCCATCATGCCGAAAATCGCCCTTCCACAGTTTGCGTTTTCCCAACTGATTTTTTTTAATTGTTAATTAAATTCAAAACTGCCATCACGAGTAAGCATTTAAGCGTTGGACCAACACATTTTTTGTTTTCCTCATTCGTATGAAATGAGTTTCCGTAATTTGAACGTTTGGAAACCAGAAAGTTGAGTGAGGGGGGTAAATGAAATGAGAATTACCGAGTTTTTAGTCGAGTTATGCAACTACTTTTACGCTTTCTTGAATTAACTGAAACTGACTCTGCGCAGTGTTTTGATCGGCTGCTAATCTGTCGGTAATTGTTTTCTGATACATACTGCTTAACTGGTTAAGTGACCAGTCAAGTGTGTAATCTGGATTTTGCGGATCTTGCTTTTAAGATTAAACCCCCTCCCTGCAACAGAACGGTTAATATTAATTCCTAATTTTCTATCAAGTTATTTTGTTAAGCTCGTAGACTCCGAGCCGAAAGCTCGCGTTGGAACCAGCGCCTCGCCGTGCACTCCGCCGGACATTTGCGTACAAACCTTTCCCGGTGAGTCAACACCCAATCTCTAGCACGGTTTTGCATCAAGAGCAAGGCAGGCAAATAAGTAATATATGTGCGTGTGTGTGTGCGAATTTTCTTTTAATCACTGGATTTTGTGAACTGATCTCAGATAATTAGATGAGGGATTCTGGGGCCTCGCACACACTAGCATTTCTTTGGGTTATCGTAGTTTTAAACTAACAACTTCACGAGGTTGCCTGTTTACTTGGGTTTATAGGACTCGTTTCGTAAAAAAATGGATGGCTGGAAGATCGGTCCTACAGCATTTAATATCTTATTACTGACTGTTTAGCCTGAAGTTAAGTGAATTTTGGTTACTAAAACCTTTCTAACTTGCGAGCCGCTCCTACTCACGCTTGGCACTTATTTCAGCAAGTCGGTGGATCCACGTATCGGGTCGGATGTCGGAGAGACAAGCACTGGCAGTTGTGTTTCCGGACAGCTCGTTTGTCCAGCCCATCGTCATACCTTTTGTCCGGGAGGCGGAAACGCAGGACAAAATAAGTAGGCCTGTTCTGCCAACTTTCGGGCCCTCTGTGATGACTAAAAACGTCATTCTTAGTTAGACAGAAGGCATTATTTTCCAACCTTTTTGGCACACCTCTACAAACCCAAGCAAGCTGACGCATGTCCCTTGTCAGTTAAATGACCTTTTCTTGACTTAAAGCTCACTAAGCCGATCTTCGTAAGACGAAATTATAATGTACAACGCTAAAGTGATATTCAGCTGTTCAGTTGTAGGTGAGGGAGCGTTCAGTAAATTGCACTGAAGAAAGAGCAATTCGGTGCGAAACCGTCTCTTCTCAGACGTGGACAGCTGTTTCGAACTTGTTGGTGGCATCTCAACACGACAGTGTCCGAGCCACTGCAGCCGACTGAACGCCACGACCAACATTCACCTCGATGCACACCGTCCTGTCCACGTTTATTGTCTTTATTTCAGCTTTAATTTACATACGAGCAGGCCTGACTGCCAAGTCTCAAAGGACATGCACATCTTGAAAATTTTGTTGCTACTAGCTTCATAAAAGAAATAAAAAAAATAATTCGGTTAAATGGACAGGCTGGTGTTTCGCTGCCATGGCAATCCGTAAGCAGCGATTAAAATTGTAGGTAGACTTCGGAATGAGGCTTTGGTTGACGTAGACAGCTGTTTCAGACATTTCGATAGTCGTCAATGGGAAGATTCAGGTTCTATCTAAGCTGCGATGAGGTGAATTGCGAGTTGTCAACCAGAGCGGTTGAATCACCCGTTGTTGAGGTCCCAATTGGTGTGGAAACAGCTGTACACGTCTTCCACGGTGTTCTAAGGTCCACTTCAGGAAACAGACATAGTTGCATACCCAGTGGTGTACAATGCATTCTCCGTAGGGTACAAATATACAATTACGATTCATGTCTATAGCCTGCCATTAGTATGGCAAGGCGAAAGGTCATTGGACAGTTATTTTGGCGCAATTTTTGAATGAAAAATAAGTCTGCAAATCTGTTAGCGCTTTGTATAACCAATCAAAAATGTTTACGTCACCAAACTACTAAACATTGCTATCATGCCTTCGTCGGATTTACCAAAAACACATTTTTGCAACGTTTGAAGTAGGAAAACCGCCATTGTTTTTTTGCCACTGTGCACAATGATGAAATCTTCCGAAAAAGAACATTTTCACGCGCCAAGCATGTAACTTAAATGCCTTGGTTTTAGAACACAGTGAGTCCGGCGGTGTCCTAACAACTGGACCCTTTACTGTCGGTGGGGACCGGATAAATCTGATCCTGCTTTTTGATCACCCCATTCGAGTAAGACATTAAACTTGCTTAATTATGCACAAATCTGGATATTAAAAAGTTAAGTGCCTACACTATTAGCAATCTTCTGCTGTAGTACATAACGACGTCGCCAGGAATAAGACTTGGCAGAAATGCACGTGGACTCTCGATCTACTGGCCTCGAGGTTAGTTGAGTCTATCAGCGGCATTTAAGAAAAAGTATCTGCATTTTTCACATTAATATATGCCTGATGTCTAATTGAGTAGTTAAATGTTTATGAAATCAGTCACGTATAGCACGGATTTTTCAATGGCAAGAAGCGTGTCAATATTGTGTTTAAATACTTTAGGAGTGCTAATGATCAACTATTCATAGAGAGCCTTGAAGTTGTGAACTGTAGGTAAATTTTTTATTCAGCGATTCAACGCCTTGTCGGAGATTTAAACTTAGTGTTTAAAACGAATCTGTTTTTCAAAAATACTGAGTAAAATCATCATTAATACTCCAAAAAAGACATAAATAGATGCCTAAACGTTTGGTGTTTATCACCGGCTACTAGGATCTGTACTCCAAGTTTCACTACGAACTTTTTTTGAAAACGAATCAAATTAACATTTGAGTTGATGCTTTGAATAATTTTTTTGTCTCCAAATCTTATTTCTCGTTTTTTTTATAATTTATATGGTTATGCTTTTCAAGTAAGGACAAGTGGTCAATTTAAGTACTAAGTGTTTTAGGAGATATGATACGTGCAGTATGTATTTCTGAAAATGGGAAAAGTTCCATATAATCAGATTATTTGGCTACCGTTTCCTAAAATCAGGCCTCAGATAGGTATTTGCAAGCCATTGAGTAAAAATCAATATTTAGCAGGTAGGTTTAATCAATAAATGCATTCATTCCTCCCAAGCTGCCCGATTTTTGAATGAGTACTTAAAACGAGCTCTGGTATTAGGGAAATTAATCGGTTTTCCCCACAGCTTCGGAACGTGGAAGGAGTGAACAATGGTTTTATGCATCTGGACACTTGGAGACGTCGGCAATTCGCCTGAGAATTCGCCACACACAAAGCTCCCAAAGTGCCGTAGTCAAAGACCTCATTTTCCAGCCGTCGCGTTCAGTCGCGGCCACTCCGAGCGTCTCGCATTTTCGCCGCGTCTTCTTCCAAGCCAGCAACGCCAGAGCATTCCGCCTGGCCGCGACATCGAAGTCAGAGGATCCGCCTTCGCACATTGGTTTTGCGCTTGTAACACTTTTATTCCTTTTCTTCGACGATCTCATTTTGTAAGCTGTAATCCAGAAAAGGCTATTTTTGTATTTTGTAACTTCACACCTTTTCTATCCCACTAAAACGTTGTATTTGTAAGTATAACAAAGACTTTTAAAAAGCAAAACCGCATTTTGCTTGGCTCTTCTGTCTCCTACTTCTGTTAAAGTACCGGAGAGATCGTTTCAAATAAGTTGGGATGTGTGAAACGACATCATTGGATGCATCACACCGCACAAATCAGTGGCGCTATGTTTAAACAAACAGTGCAACCAGAGTGGAATATCTACATCTGACCATTATCGGTTTTGCTTTGTCGGTTGTTTTTAAAAGTTGATGATCAAATATTGAAAACAAAGAATTTTAGAAAAATTGCCATTATCCATGAAGAGAAGATGTCACATCGGCAAGGTGTTAGCGAAGTCTTATTAAAGAAACATGCCTATCTATTAGTCATTCGACCTACGTGTCGTTAGATTTCAAGGAGGTCCCAAGGCATTAACACCATGATTTTTGTCATACGACGTCAAACGCACAACAGAGAAAATGCAGAAGTTTTACCTGTCCATTCGAAGACTTGGTGTTTAAGCATTTTGGGGGGAATTTGGCGTTTGGAAAAAGTTGTGACAAAAATAAGTGAGCCGCTACCAATGACCATATTTTAAAATTTCAGTATAAATTTGCCTTATAAAAAAACATATTTCGAGGTGATTCGAACATAAATATTCACTGTATTTTGAGTTAAATTTTGATTAATTAAGCAAACAGCTTACATGTTGCTTTGCTAGCATAATTTTGCAGAAAAGGATGGAATTGCACAGGATGCTGCAAGGCGATGTATGACGCTAACAGAGTAACGATAGAATTAGTGTATGTCACTACTGATGGGTCATCGACTATAAGGCGGAATGTCAGTTTAAGGTTACAATTAAACGACAGAAATGCAAATTAACGTCTCTAATGTGGAGTCATTTGTGGCAACCGCTACTGACCTTTTAATGACACCGGCTGACTTAATTAATGCACAAGGTATTCATATGGACGTAGGTTAATAGCATCCAAAGTTCAAATAATGAGTTAAGCTCCATAGATGGAGCCACTGAATTGTATGTGCGTTCAACCTGGTGTTTGGATATCTTCTACCCTTCTACATATTAGAATGCGGAAGCCATGATAAGTAACAACTGGGCAAATGGATTTTACGAATTTAGGTGCCCCTCCGAATGTAACTGTCGGCTGCAGCTAGAAAAGTTTAAGATGGGCCTTGATAACAGCATATATAGTAAATCGCCAGACTATAGCTAACAATTACATCAGGCCTTAGATTTATGCATCTCAAGGCCTTTTAAAAAAATATTAGGTTCGGTGATGAAAATTTTGATGTGTTGTACGATCGACAAAACTGTGATGTTCGCCTTATTCAAAATGCGGTAGTAAAAGAAAAAAAATAAATTTCATGAATTTAACCAGTTTGACGAACTACCAAGTTCGAACAATCATGCATTCCTGAATCGGTAAATAAGTTTCGTTAAGTAAGAGGCAAAGTGGTCCTCTTTACCTATGAAATTTATCGACGCATATGCCAGACAAGTAAAGTATAACAATCACCAGGAAACAGCTTGCGCGCAGGTAAAAAATTCAAGGTACAAGAAAGCACGTGGTTTGCCTTAGCTGTGCCTAGTAATTTACGTATCGACAAGCCTACACCTTTCATTCTGACGCATGAATCATTATCCTATTGCTGTCTCCGAAAGCAGCTAATTTTCAAACTTTTTGGTAATTAGCACTAGAACTGGCAACGTAATGCCTAATTTAAATTTAAGTACGCATATGTAAAATTTAAAGTCATTTAATAAATCTGTTTTATTTGTTTCTCTACACTGAGAGTCGCTTACAGAATCTCAATTACATAAATTGGCCAATTAGTGTTTCAAACTCTACTGTTCTGTGTGTGCCAATGAAGCGTTGCATCAATTTCGAGTTTAGTAGTCAAGCCTCTCTTGGAGATCTCGAGGCACTGCTGAATTCAGTCACTGCATCTCTTAAAGAGAGTTACTTGTCAGTGCGTCGTGATATAGTTTCCGAATTCGGATTTCAAGGCGGTCGGCTGAAGTCACGCGAAGAAGAACTATTACTGGAACTAGAGACAAAGTTTGGTGAACGCATGTCGCTAATCGAAAGGTATAAAAGATTTTTTTGATTCGGACCTCTAGGTACATTGGTTTGCTGGAATTCGCAAAAGGTTGTTCGACAAGTGAATGCAAGAGGGCTTTGTCATATGTCCAAGACGACTTTAAAAGGTTTTCTTTTGTTCACAACTAATATATGCTCAGGACATTTGCGTCTGATAAGGGAGGTATTAGCTTACCGTGTGTTTCATTCAAGTCTGACAAAGTGTGTCTTGAGCAAAACATCATGCATCATGGAGTTTTGGAACCCGAAAATACCACTGGGGACCCTGCTGAATGTGTAAATGAAAAGCAGTTTTGCCGTCCCAAAATTGGCACTCTTTGTGAGTATTTTCCGCCAATATACGAGCATTCTTCTATGTGGCTCTCACCTGCTGTCCTAAAGGAACGGGAACCTTGCCATACTGATTTTGCTGATATCATGAAGCCTTGTGAAAAAAACGTCTACAATACGCGGACCAAATTCCATCCTTCGTTTTGCTCGTCCACTGGTGAGATGAAATTTGTTAAACAATTAGGATGTACTTTGAAAATTTAATGATTGTAAACTTTTTGTGTCATTGGTGTAGAAAGACGTTTTCATGGGTTGGTATCTCGGTTCTATTAACTGGATTTAGCGGTTATTTGGTGTATCTTTTGTGTTTTATTTCTAACTACGTGGTGGAACCAAGAAATAATTAGATTTTCGTTTCGTTTACGTTTTTTGGTCTTCCCTTATTGAGAGAAAATGTGGCGGATTTCGAAGTTTGGATCAATCTTGTGCATCATACTACCTCCATATTTCTGAAACACACCCTTTTTACCAGTTCAGTTGATTATTTGTATTTTTAGTGCATACCAGAGTGATCTAGAGGCCATTGAGCCCTGACATACCCGATCTGTATCACCTTCACTACACTCCCACCCTAATTTTGATTAACTGACGAATTTTGTGCAGGTAAAACAGACGGTGAAAGTTTCGAGGTACTGGACTATCCTTCGCCTTTGAACCGTTCATACAGGAGTTCTCTATCGGAAAAGGTAGGCTTCTTTTTACCAGATAAAGTGGATCAGTATAAAAACAACACCTGAGCAGCTACAATGTTCGAGTGCTATGTTTGATACAACTTACGATTGTGTTGTGCTAGGCAACGTTGCTGCACATAGGCACATGTCGAGTACACTGTTGACATTATGAACTGCCGTGGGATGTGGGTCATGTGTGTATTTACTTCATAGTGTAATGTGGCCCTCATGTTTTGTGAGTGATTAACTCAAATGCTTTGATGTCGAGGTTTGACGTTGTTAACGCCAGGGACTCTTCAGAATCCTCATCACTCAAGACATTCTTTGAGTTTTATCATTTCTTTAAAAGAAAATTAGGTGAAAGTGTACTGCCTTCGTCATCTTTCAATAGAAATCATGTAAAGAGTTGTTTTTACCTTAGAACCTGCATGGTTTACTTGTAGTCGGAGAGCGGTCAAGCGGACTCGCTGGTGCTTTTCCCGCCGCCGTATGCCGCGAGTCTTGCCGACATGTCAGCGTGGCTTGCGTACACTCGATTGCCGCCGGCGGAGCGTGACACTCGCCACCTGTTTCCGCCCACTCTCCTCTCACCCGCCAACATGAGCCTGTGGCTGTCCGCCCCAGCGCCGAAGAAGGACCACCAGGTTTGTGCCAAGAGCCAGACCTGCAAAAACGAGTGGCTTTGTCAAGCGCCTCCGAAGCCCCAGGTTGACACCCTCGAGGCGAAGTTAGAAGCCATGGCCTTGGCCCAGGAGAAAGACGAGGACAAGGAGGTAGACAATAGTGAAGTGGTTGCCCTAGTGAGTCGTTTATTCACTGAAGATAAATACCATTGTAATCACGGTTCTACTAACAAGCCCTTGTGTCAAGTTTTTTGTCCGCGGGTCCTGTGAGTGTTAAGACGCGTTGTGGTTCTTGATATTGCTCACTTCCATTTCGGAAATGCTGCTGCTTCACTAAAAGGGTTCTAACGTTGAATATTTCTGACCCCCAAAAGAAGTCGGTGGCCAAAAGCACACGAATAAATTTCAGTGAGTCGACGGCAATTGGTTGCATAGCTTATAACAATTCCGTAACGCTTGTGAATTCCGATCAGCCTTTCCATGGAAATGGTCTCGTTGACTGTTTTCGTTTGCAAAACTGCCAGGAGACCACAGTACCTACATTACTTTCGTCTTCCTCATGAACTGTGCTGTCAGCTACTTTACACTTTTATTCCCAAATGGCTGGTCCTGGAAACGCACAGACTGGTCTACAAAAACGCTGATGCGTTCACGAATTGCCGAGGTTATGGCCCACGTGCTCGCTTTGTTGGCGAGGCTTTTTGAATTAATCCCTTTTTCACGTTGTTTTTAATTATTGCCAATTTAGTGTGAACGGCTGACGGTGAAATTGTGCAAGTTAATCCGACTCGCCGAAGTACCTCGACCTTGCCCGCAAACTATGTCACAAGGCTTCGCAATTGTTTTCCCCTCCCATTTGACTGACTTATGGGGCCGTGTGCACGCGCGCTAGAATTGAACGAAAACACCTTGTGGTCGTAAACAATCGGTGCTGCTTGATTGTTGCCAGCTCTTAGTTACCGCTCTATGCCACGGCTTGAATCGTCGAGCCCTTCAATGCGGGTCGCTATTTCAACGCATTTAAGCGTTTAGTGGGAAACCCTGAGAATAAGAGGACGGGTCGTCACGACGTATTAAATCATTCACAGTTTTTGGTCATGGCTCTGTGGGTTACCAATCTAGCCAATGCGGAAGCGAGAAGTGGACGCTCACTGGTTGACCTTGTCTTCGGCACATGATGCTGTCTACGTGACTGTCTGGGTGTCGAGTGGCACTGGGTTGGCCCAGAAAAATACCCCATTCCCTCCGCTAGTGTTTAACTACTTTGCATTCTTGACAAGGCATTTGTTTTGCCACATCCGATAGCTGCATTCAAGCGTGGCTTAATTTGTTTACGAGTGGGTCTAGTTATTTACAGCCTTTGTGTATGCTGATGTCGAAACCGTTGTGTGGCAAAGGTTGGTATTTACGAAGATCCACCGTAGTAGTTGTTCGACTCGCGACTTATTGGTCCATCTGGGCGGGTGGATTTGATGCAGCCTTCTCCGAGTCTCGGGGTAAGCGTGCCAGAGGCGATTCCACTCCAGCAGCCAAGAACATTAGCGACTTCTGCTTGCGAGACCATTTCCTATCTGAAATAGACGCCTTCGATACCCTAACCTGTAATTCCGGTTGTGACCAAATTACAGCCCTCAAGCCGATCGTAAAAGCTATTGAATCCAGTCTTTGGAACTGGGATTGGTCGTCCGGTTACAGTTTACTTGTTTCCAGTAACATATTAGGCGAAATGTCACATATTTTTTTGGAAAACTTGTCATTCCTGTGAGCGAATTTACGAGAACGGTGTCAGTACACTCTGGTGTTGCAGGTGAGAAAAATATGTTTGATGCTTCATTAATAATGGGAAGCATTGATTGGTCAATAAATGGAATTAACCGTCACCCAATTTTTACCATTGTGCCAATCGATGCAAATACCTTAAACTCATTGGTCGACCGGCCTGTTAATCTTCTGAGGAAACATCGCATCAAATCAGGCCTCGGCCTTCACAGTTGGTCGGCTTCTGTGGCATGGGTTTGAATCCTACTACGTGACTTCAACACCAACAATATGCCAACTAAAATGTACGTCAATGAAATGAAATACACCAAGGCAAGAACCCTCTAAACTATTGCTCGTCTGACATTAAAACCATTCTTTTTAAATTATACCAGCAACTAAACCATTTTTTCTCCAGCTCAACGTCAAACTTCGCAGTTATTACAGTTGACTCGTTTCCCGCAAGGCCTCGTCCAAAGTCTAGCCTTTTCATTCTAAGATTTTGTGCAATGGAGTTCTGTGAATGCACGTTTAAACATAGTCGTCGACGTGGGCTCTTGTTGTCGTCGTCGTCGATGCTTTCAATAAAAACGTTGGCCAAAGCACCTAACACGTGGACTTTGCTATCCGATTAGGTGTGCCGCAAGCCCAATAAGGGGGATTCGTGCTGCAAGTCGTTCGGCAACTGCGCAAACAAGCCGAGCTGCGCGACGCGTCTGATGGACGAAGTTGAGAAGCCGTGCATTCGTGCCTGGCTCGCGCGCCAATCCGTCCTGCCCGCCCAATTGCAGGCCGAACTTGAAGGTGAGCAATCGGAGCCACGCGACCCGGCGGTTGTGGCACAGCTCCGCAAAACCGCCAAGTCCGATTTGTCGCTCTGGCTGGCCAAGAATCGCAGTGAGGAACCGCCGAGGCCGTCTGGCAACCGCATGACATTCGTGCAGCACCACCTCGAACCCAACTGGAGAGAACGGTAAGCACTCACGGCGGTCACTTGAGTGGGTTTGTCTTAGCAACTCAAGATTTTGATTGTAAGCTATTTCGAGTCGTGAGTGGTCCACACCAGTGGAATTTATCTCAACCCGTGTGTTTTCTGTGCTGAGGCACACCGCCTCCTATTGACATCTCTGTGTAATTTTCCTCTTAAATGAAAGCAGTAATGCTAATGATTTTGTAAAGATACGCTTTTCTGGCTAGTCGGTACAATGATTTGTTCTCTTTGTTCTAATTTGGCTCTGAACTAGCCTGAAAGTAGCCTGAAGTGTAGTGACAGTGATCATTGAGCAGGCATCCCAACAAGAATATCGCCAAATAGAGCGTATTTATTGCGGCTAATTTACAGTTGTTAATGAGGTGGGCAATTTTCCTTGTCTCTTGTCAGGTGGTTGAAAAGACACGAGCCCCTTGTCGCCGAGATGTTGGACAGTCATGTGGCGAAGAAGTCGAAGCTCGCCAACCTTCTCTTGGATAGTCAGAAGAACCTGGAAGCCGATCTCGAGGCCATCGTCTACCAGTCGCCGTTCAAGTGCCGAACCACCGCATCCTACAACTGGCTCCACACCAGCAAGAAAGCGGAAGCCGTGGAACAGCCGTGCGGACGTGCTCCGTGCCTCTCCGGAGTCACGACGACATTTGAATCTGACTGACTCGACAATCGTTTTCTCGCCTAATTTTACTGCTGATATCCTAATTTCCTTGCCGTAATGTAATTCCTCTTCCAAGATGCTTTTTTTGCGCATTTACTGCTTTTGTCGTTGATCGTTTGGAATTCGCGGTTGGGGAGTGTGCTTTGAATGAACAAGTTTTCGTGGTAATTCGGCTGCCGCCCTTTCTGAATGTCGCTGCAACCTCAGGGGCGAGTGGAGGTGTGAAGTTCAAGGCTCATAAGTGGCCACCTGTTAATCACTCGTTCAAAATATGCATGTTTTTGGGGCAAAATGTTCAACCTGATTTTCGGCACGGTGGAGAATTACTAAGAGCTGATTCCGAACAATTAAGTGCGCGTATGAACCCGCAACAGATTTATCGTTCCATTCCTCACCGATGTCTCCCGAAACCGTCCTTCACATCAGTTTGTGCCGCGATAATTGTTCGTTTGTGTTTGAATTGGTACTGTTTAGCACCCAAGCAGGATGTCTGAATTGTACTGGCCAGAGTTTAGCCGGCGACCTCAGTCGTGTTTGTCACCCTCAGTGGTCACGCGGACTCTGCACAATCCGGTCTGATACCAGCTTGTTTTGACGCCTGCTGCTACAATCACGCCGTAGGGCATTCACAAGAGACCCTCGAGCTTTTCCATTTTGATTTTCTTGATCTCCGTTTCATGACGAGTAATAATGAAGTTGTTTCATCGGTTCTAGTGAATCTGCCTAAACTTCAAACTGTTTTCTATCAATGTAATACCCACAAGAATGGTCTCCGACCCCATAGAAAAGGCGTGTGTTGTGCAAGCCCTTGCGGCATGTGGCACGTGACTGCCGATCTGTAGGCCCTTGGCACGCGACGGGCCAATCACACAGGCTGATTCCCTGTGCTTGTTTGACATGCTGCTTTCACGTCTTGCTGCTTTCACCGCCGTTGCAATGTGCCTCAATTTTTGACCGTTCAGGGACGTTGGAGCACACAAATCTTGTTGTCACAGCGTGGGATCAACTGTTGGTTGTGCACACTTTAGAAATTGTCTATGTCAAATTGGTCGTGGCGTGGTGTGACGTTTTCATGTCCGCTCTACCCGTCATTCATGTTTCCGAGCCTGCGCTTCCAACTTAAGGGTGTCATTGATTGTGGAGGAAACACAAGTTGTTAAAATCCTCGTGAAATCGTAGAATTCAGACGCCAAACTAACGCGCACTCGACAAGTCCACCCTACATCGACAAACTGAAACACGAATTGGGCACATATGGTAGGCTTGTTGCGTAGAGTAGTCGAAAATAGGTAGAGAATTCACCTTCCCATTGAATCGTCGTTTTGATTCGCGTTGAATTACTGATCACTTTGAAATGAAAAAAGGCACCAATGTAGACGTGAAGCAGCTACTTTGCTCATTAGAACTGTTAGAGGTCATCGGTTCGGCGTCACTAATTGTTGAGGGATCCGGCGTGTTGTCTCAAACCACGCCGCGGTCACTGCTTTGAGTCTGGTGCGTTTAAGTTACTCAGATACCAGAGAAGACAAGGAGAAGATCAACCGTTTAACGGATAGCTCAAAGAAGTTGTGTTGTGTCGTGTGTCCGACTCATGTGTTTTGCCGACTGATACAAGTGCCTGGCTGATCAAATGGATAAAGCCGGTAGTGGAGGTACAAGCACAGAAGAGAATAAGCAGATCGTCCCTCGTGACAAACGGGCACGCCGTGAGAAGCGGGACGTGTGCCTGAGACTGCAACGACCGGATCAATGGACCTGGTGGCATGTGTGATTCGACTTGCAAAGGACATGTTTCACGAGGGTCATACTGTTAGGGATATCACCATTTCGTTTGCAGCTGATCTGAGTTTCATCCTTGAATTGTACTCCAATGTATTGGTTGGTTGCTACGTTTCGACGCTAAATACTTATTCAAAGGCTAAAAGTACTTTGTAACCGTATCTTGTTACGCTTGTATAGTCTTTGTGAAGGTGGGAAATTCACGAAGGTGTTGCATAATTAATTGCAATCAGAACTTGACTGGAGTCTCGAAAATTGTTTTCCGTTTTCAGATCGATAATCCCTGGAAGAATTTGCTCGGTTTCTGCCCAATCGGAATTCGTTATCATTCCACACGTTTACCCAACCCGAAAACAATTTTGGTGGCCCCGTTGACGCCTCAGAGGGGCATCGAGCCGCCACCAGGCCTCCTCTCCTCGCCGTATCGCATAAAACTTGTGCCCAATTTCGACATACCCAGTGTCGACAAGACGTCTACTCGGCGTCGAGCAGAATACGGCTACCCAATAGACACTGCGCGTCACAGCTTGGACCTGCGAAACAACCGTCGCCACCAGCAGTTTCTGTACGACTTTGCTCTGCACACATGCCTTGGAATTGATCGTGTGACTCCTCTTTCCAGCATCCTTGATTTGGCCTGTGGTGTGCTCCTTCCGTTTGGCGGGGAATCCCTGATGGAGAAGGGGATTTTCGCGCTAGGCTTTGATCACATCTTGCGGCCAATGAAAGGCGTCGATTTTGCCCAGTGCTCATTGATTGGGTCAAAGTTTCCGCTGCGACCTTCGTCAATCGACTGCATTGTCTCAATCTCATTCGTCCAATGGGTGACCGCGACCGAGAATGAGCGTGTGATTGGTCTTTTTGCGCAGGAGTGTGTTCGAACGATGGCCAATCAGGGCGGACACTGCATCATGCAGTTTTACCCAGCTAACAAACGCGACCTCGATTCGATTAGTGAGGCTTTCGTAGCCGCTGATCGTGGCATTCGGGGGTGTCGTTTGAGTGCCTGGCCTGTCGAAAACAGAGGTGTCAAAATCTTTGTTTATTGTGTAAAAAATAGTTTACCCGCGGTCGGCGCCAACTGAGATGTTTTCACAAAGCGCACGAGTGCAAATCGAGTCTTAAATTGTTACTTTCATGGGCAAACCACATTTGACGATGTATAAAAGGCGTTTTCATTTATTAAGGGTTACATTCTCCACTTTTTCGCATCGGATTCACGCATCTGATCGCTGTAGTCATGATCTTGTCGTTTGAGAAGCTGCTTGTGATTTTTTACTGGCGCAATTTAAGTAGTAATTGCAAACAAGACGCGAGAATGCTTAGAGGCGGGAAGGCAAGCACATTTAGGTTGGGTTGTAAGTTTAACAGAAAGGTGAAAATCATGTTGCCTTATGCTCACTCTGGTCACCACGTGTGTCATGATGCGAAAGTTCCCGCCTCATGCCAAATCGCAAAATAATCTGGGCAATTTTTTTCAATCCATTCAATTGGAATTCACGAGCGCCGCAGCAAATAGCGACTAGGGAACTGTGCGATTTAAAATGGCCACCTTTTAGGTGGGTTATCGATCGGCATTTGCAGGAGCCAATCACACTATGCATAATGTGTTTGTTTACATCAAGTAAGGGTTAAGACCTAGTTACCACTGCAAGTCCCTCATGCCATGGCTGCTATTACGTAATCAAGGCCTCCGAATGTATTGATGTGGCCTACAAAATAGACTGATTTCAGATCTCTTACATTGCATGTGAAATGGCCTTAATCGATTACCTGAAAATTTGCAAGTAGGCCACAAGAGACGTAGGGATTCGCCTCTTTCCCTTTCATAGTCAGAATCTGACTATGAAAGTCCAGTGAACAATTGTTTGTTCAAAATCTCAAAAAATAACAACGGCCATTTGAATTATTGCAGAAATTAGCCAATCCAGAATCGGCAGTGTCGTGTACTTTTTGACGAATAAGTGCTTTTTGACTGCTGTAGTTAATCCACTAGTCGAGGTTTATATAGTTTTGGTGATGAGAATGTTCTAGAAGCCACCTTTCTGTTAACGGAGTGCTTCTCAATGTACAGTCAACTCCTGAACCTGTAGCGGATTAACAGCGATAGCGCCTGAGTGAACCCTGGTTACCGACCTGACGGTGACAATGACTCATCTCCTTTTCATTGGTTACTGTATTAGATGCCTGTCAGCCGTTCACTCATCCACGCACTAAGACACACTTGGCGGGCGTGACGCTACTAAACGGTCGTGTTCACTGTCGCTTCTTTTTCCACTCTTCTCGGGCTGTTACGGACTGTTACCTAGAAGGTTGTAAGGTAGTGCTTAGACCTCAAGCCACTACAAACCCAGCCACTCTTCGACTGTGACTCACGATGTTGAAACTTTGTGATCCGATAACGGGTACACCTTTCAAATTATGACAATGAGTTGAACTGCCGTTAAATGTTGTCACTAACCAAAACAGGAATCACTCACGACCAATTCAAATGGATTCAATTTCTCCTCACACACACACACTACTATGTAGGAGGGAAGTAGTGCTAAACTTTAAGGTGCACTATGAATTGCTGACATTTTTTGGTTTTCCCGATGTTTGATTGACCAATCTGCAGACTCCCATCGCTAGATGTGAGAATCTGTCTGTCTAAAGCGTTTTTTATTGGCTGACAGTCGAGATCTTGCTTGGAATGCTAGCGACCGAATACAGCAAGGCACCTCGTAAAGTCGATCATGATGCTTAGGAATTACGTACTTCAATTCCCCCCTTCTCAAAGGCTTCTGGTTGCACTGCATTAACTTGATATTACGGGCTATTGCAGCCAGTTTGTGATGAAAGCTTGAGTTGCATGGATCTTGGGAAGTGTGAGGTTAAGTGTTTACACAACGATTTTGAATTTTGCCATGGTAGCCGTGTTTGTTGTGGTTGTACAGGGAAAAAACAGCGCTTTAAGTTAGGGAATAGACTAATACAAAAGTTTCTGAACTTAAATCATAAATCGATTTCCTCTTTTTATTGATTTACTAATCCAGTGGACTTGTTGGGCGCAAATGTTGATTTTGAATGATTGCCAATCAGCAAAGAATATTCTTTTTTAATCAGAAAAACCACCAACCAACAGGAACTGATTATATTATATTTCCCAGAATGACTGGTGTTGCGCTGGTCACTACAAACTAACTCAATTTACCTGCAGAACGAATAATTGAATAAAGCATATTAATTTCACCCACAAAGTCGCCCGTTCTATTTTTGACCCAAAAAAGATTTAGGGGCAGTGGGATCCAATCAGCCACGCTCCGAATTATCAACGACGCCAGACATTACCTCGACGATGACCCAGTTTTGTAGTGTTTTGGCTCAACTTCCTTCGATCAAAGAGGTGGGTGTATGCCTTGTGTCGGTTTCAAATTTGACGTATGAACCAACCACCACCGACCACACACGTCAAGGAGACCTTCAAATTTGTCGCCATTGCCTCCTCTAGGGTTCGTATAAAAGAACGACAGTTATTTCTTCTCGCTAAGCAAGCTACATGCTACTGATCTTGCTGCGGCGAGATGCGAATTGAACCTTTTGGTCAACCTGGCTTGTCCTTTGTCCTCTTGTATCCCTTCATCCTCCTCAATCCACGCTTTTGGACTTGTGGTTCCACCCTAACCCCTCTGCTTTTGTACATGGTATTCTAGAACACATTGGGTTCCTTCTGCCTGGTATTCAACCCTGATGATGTGACTATCCTTGCGAGAGAGTACCCTCCCCATCAGACCCTCTACATTTCGGTGACAGCCACTACCGTCTCATGTTCTCATACCCACTCTCACTATAGTCCTACCTTGTACTCGCTCTCACATGCCACAATTCCTCACACCGAAACCTTGCTCCCTTTTTCATAATTCCCAAATGAACAGGCCACGACAAGCTCCTTCCCAAATCCTCATCCAAAACAACGAAAAATGCTAACCAATCAAAACCAGACAATTGACCCATAACTGCCACAAACGACTTGCTTGTAAACGTTTAGTTCTATTTCTCTCGGGGTGGTCGGATTAACCTCAGATTACTGATTTTGCGACACCGATGACCATACAATTCGATTTGACGATTTGACGATTCAGCAGGCATATCAGAGCTGCAGCTTGCTCGCTTCGACGGGGAACCAATCACACACAGACACTCTGCTACGCACGTCGACCAATCATTGGCAGTTTGTTACACGAGACAGCTGAGCTCACCCTTTCTGTATAAATATTTCACGTGGTTTTTCAATTTTTCTTGCAGGGAAATTGACAAGCGTATTATTCCAGGGCTATTAATGGTATTTTTGTGTAGGAATCATAAAAGCCACCATGATTTGTTTTATTGTGAAAGAGCGATATACGGCTCGTCGGGTCAGTAGTTATCAAGGCAACTGCAATGCATTGACCCAGTTGCAGAAAAAAAATTTTATTCGTGTTAAGGAATAAAAAAAATCTGTCCTTTCAGGTTAATCTGCAGCTCATTAAAGCTGTACTTGTGAAGAATAATGAACGAGAAGAATATAAAAGTGCATGCAGACACCTGCTGATCAACCGCGCTTTTGTTTAAATTCGTTCGATTCCGCGTTCAGTTTGCGGTCTCAAATCGTTATTATGCTTCCATTCCAGTTTAAAATAAAACCACTTGTTTACCAAAACACTAAGACTAAAGTGCTCTCCATCAATGCGACGTTTTCAAGTTCAAACAAAACAACTGCATTGCAGAGACTAGAAAAGTCTGTTCAACCTGGAGATTTGGGTTTAAAAGTAGCAAAATGCGTGAAATACAAATTGGTGGGATTTTTTTTGCCAGCGTGTCATCTGATGTCCTCACACGTGACCTTGAGCAAGCCAATAAGGAGCCCGGAAGCAACGTGTTACATGCACCACGCCGCGCCGTCATCTATTGGTCTGGCATTTTATTAATCGACACGTTTTTGAGCCCCTTAAGTAACGCTAAATTGGTCGGCAAAATGGTACAGATATATTGCAGTGCAAACTGACTAATCCACAACTGACATGTGACAGTGCCGATGACTGACTCAAAACTTGACAAAAAATTAAAACAACCATTCAGCAACTGGAGTAATCCACTTCTGCTAGTTTCTCTAATAATATGGTCCTTCAAATTTCATGAATCAGCACTCTTTTTGGATTTTACAGCGCAGTTTGAATAGGATCAACAAAGGATAAGTTAGGCAGCTGATGAGGTCGTAAATGGTTTAAGCCTATGGGACATATTTAAACTTGAAAGATGAACCAAACTTCATCAAGTAACCATCGCGGTCTCTAATTTTCACCAACTCCCAAATTACCTTCGCCTTAATAACAGGTTTCAAGTTAAAAGTAAAAGTCGATAAATCTTGAATGGGCGCAGAATCACTCGGACGCTTAAACGCAATTTTTGACTTGAGAAAAGCCATGTGTTTGCTGTCCGTCCTCAAGTAGTCTTAACATAGTCCAATGATTTTTCTTCTAATCGACATGCAAACTGCGCCAAAAGTAGTGGAATAGGCTGGCAAATGAATACACAACTCTAGCTATTTCCTGACTGGTAGCTTTACACCAATAGCAAATGTTCAAGGTCATGACAAATAATCGATTAAATTAATTTTAATTAAATCATTTAATAGCAGATAACTCTGAGTTGTTACCGCTAAATTTGAAATAAGATTAGGTGAAAACCTGAAAAGTGACTCGCTGAATCCATGATGCAGGAGAAAATTGACCGTACCAACGCAATAAAGTCATAGTAGCATTTCACGGAACGAACGATTAACAAATGGGTTTTGTTCATTCTATCAAAATTGCAATTTTTTCTTCCCAACTTCAAAAAAAGCAAGATTTTGAAAAAATTACTGTATCTCGGAGTATGTCGGGGAAAATTATTTGCGATTCGCAGCTGACGTAATTCAAGGTTGTAGTCTGTTTTTTGATGATTAGATTTAGACAAAATTTGGCTTTACTCAACGTCCTGACCATCCTCAAACACATTAAGGGAAATGTCACATATTTTTTTGGAAAACTTGTCATTCCTGTGAGCTAATTTACGAGAACGGTGTCAGTACACTCTGGTGTTGCAGGTGAGAAAAATATGTTTGATGGTTCATTAATAATGGGTAGCATTGATTGGTCAATAAATGGAATTAACCGTCACCCAATTTTTACCATTGTGCCAATCGATGCAAATACCTTAGACTCATTGGTCGACCGGCCTGTTAATCTTCCGAGCAATCATCGCATCAAATCAGGCCTCGGCCTTCACAGTTGGTCGGCTTCTGTGGCATGGGTTTGAATCCTACTTCGTGACCTCAACACCAACAATATGCCAACTAAAATGTACGTCAATGAAATGAAATACACCAAGGCAAGAACCCTCTAAACTATTGCTTGTCTGACATTAAAACCATTCTTTTTAAATTATACCAGCAACTAAACCATTTTTCCTCCAGCTCAACCTCAAACTCCGCACTAAAGACAAAGCTTCAAATGATAGGCCAACTTTCTGGGCAAAATCAAATTCATGATGTCTGGCCAATCACCAATTACTTATGGTCATTTTTATACCCGAATGCACACATTTTCTGCCTTACAATCATTCACATAATCCAAATGTTGCGTGCGTGTTTAAAAATTAAGCAGATTTTGTGAGGTCTTAAGTCGTGTTCGCTGAACTTTTTTCGCCAATCATCGCCTCGCAAATAAACGGAACATAGGGGTTTCATGGTGCCATTTTTCTAGACAAAAACACCCCGATTTTGAGCCAATCATCCGTAATGGCGATAAATGGTGCCAGCAAACCTTGCTGGTTAAAATAACCCACAGCAAGCCTCAGCAACCATGGGGCATTCTCCAAAGGAGAGACTAATTCCACGTAAACATCCAATGCGTAAATATTTCTGGGAATACCGGTAGCTGTAGATAAAAGTTTAACAAAGTTCCACTTGACGGCTAGTGTGGATTCGTCAAAAATCGATGTTGCCCCAGGAGACACTCTGAGGTCCTCATGTCTGTCGACAACCACAAGATGATGCAGTTTATTCGGCTACACGACCAATTTGTGTGCTGACACCCAAAGAACCCGGTAAGAAAGCGATTGTTGAAATAACGGTGCGATGTGGTCATCTCACCAATTTCTGCGGTTGTTTTGCGTGACGGTGCGCGCAGAAATATATGAATGCAATCAGTGGCTAGCTGTCAAGCCGCAAGAAAAATCAATCACCAATAATCAATTGACTTGACATTAATCAGAAATCAAATTGACCACTTATAAAAGAGGCAAGTCGAAAACGTGTACATGTCTCACGGCAAAGTTTGATGTGAAACCCCACCATAGGGGATTCGACTAAGTACACGTCGGCACTCCTTCTTATTTTGAAGAGAAAAAAACTGATCTATAAGGAAAAACAACTAAGTGAATTTACACACACTTAATCAAATTGGCGATTCCTTGACAGTCTAACCGATTACACACACAGGACTATCAGGAAGGATTTCTTGTGTTTAAAATTGCTGTATTACAACAAAGCCAGATCTAGTCGACTGGTAGCATCTCATATCTGGCAAATTCACGGTGGATTTCCTGATTTCTGCATTGATTGATTTGAATTTCCCGTAATTGAATATTTACTAAAATAAAAGTCGATTTAATGACGTTTAAAAATGATGTAAGCGATCACTAGGACAAACTTGTCACTGACTCTAGAACAGACGGTCAATTGAATGTGCTCAAGAAATAACTCTTGCGGATAACTGGCTGGTCTCAAATATGATGATTGGAAGAACGCATTTTCTCAGGCTAATTATTATAAGCCGATCAATAGGTTTGGGCAGCAGAATTTCTGCCTATATATATCTGGTTAATGAATTACATTTATCACTTTTTGGTGGCCATTTTCAAGGCCATTGTTGCCTTAGCCTGCTCAGTACTTTGGCATTTCAGGGTTAGATTTGGTGCAACCTTAAAGTAAATCAGTTCTTTCAAAATATGCTTTAAAAATAAAAAATAGTGATTACCAATCATGGACGATACTTTATTCACTCTACCACGGTTCAACCTACCAGTTGTGTTCTTCGCTATGTTAATCGTGAAAGTGTGGCTGCGTTAACTATTAAATATGTCGCGGATGTGAGTCACAATTAATCACCAGTCCTCAGCCGCGTGACTAAATTTGGCGGAATTTTTCGGCCCACAGACGAGAGGTGGTCAACTCAGGGCTTTGTGGAGATTCGCAGACTCTGAGTGTGGTTTTTAACTACTTATAGTTGCACACTGACTATGTGTATTGCCTTCACAGTTGAAAAACTGTCCAAATTGACTATTGCTAGCCCGGGGCTTTTGCAGTAACATCGACTGCGGAAATCTTCTGATAGACTTGTCGTCAAGTTATGTCCAACTGCCGTCGCTAAATGACCACCATCCGAGCTCTCAGTCGTTTTCGATTGTAAGCAGTTTTTTGACAACTGCAATGGGCAGCAGCTGCTCAATTTAATCAAACGTGGACGCTAGTGGCCATCAACTTATTCACAACTACCGTCTTAAATTTAATTTGACTTTGCTGCGAAAAAAACCTACAATATATATTCAGGATGCTAAAAATGGTAACTCTTTCAGCTAAAATGCCTCCGAAAGCGATGCTCCCACTGGGAAAAAAATTCCGCGAAATTGAAGTTAGTCATCGGTACAATCCGAATTGAATTCTCAGATAGCGAAACACAAGATTAATTCATTAAATGGTCTCAGTTTTGGAACAACACAATACTTAAATTAAACAAAGATCAACATAATCAAAATAAAACAGGCATGGCAAATTTTTTCCCAATGCGGGTAAGGACATGTTTAGGTTTGTCTTCTAACCAATCACCAAGCAGCATCAGTAGCAGTGCTCATGCTTGACCAATTGTAAGGTACTTTGCCGCGAGCAGGACCTTGTATAATAACTTACAAAATGACAACCCCGTCCAGTAAACTGCGTACCTCATTTTTGATGGACAGAAGGCAATCAGTAGCACCCAGCACCTCGTATCGATGGCGCTCTCGTTCCATGGCGACAGAGGACCAGGAGAACAGCCGGGGTCAGGCCAGCCTGGATCAGGGCATTCTGCCCAGCGCCATGCGCACAGCCACCGCTGCGACGAGGCAGCTGAAAAAGATGACAAAAATGCTTAGCATCGATAGGACCAAGGAGGTGCTGCGAGTGGCGTTGGAGGACAACGACCGAGTGGAGTACGTGAGGCTGGCGTGCGAACACGAGGAGCTCGTGAAGGAGGCCAAACAGCTGCGGGGGTTCGTGGTGGAGCTTTGCGAGCGATACGAGGCGGCCAGGTCGCTTGACCCCATCAGGCGGTACAAACGCATGCAGTCCATGGCCAAAACCATCGTGCTGCAGCTGCGGGTCAACGACCCAGGAGCTGCGGCCGGCGGTGAGGCGGGAAATGGGAGCGTCGACAGTGCCGGTGGTGGCGGTGGTGCTCTAATCGTCGGGGATGTGCTCCAGTCGTCGGTCAAACAGAAGGAAATGCGACTGAAACATGAGAAGGCGGCAAGAGGTGGGTTTTGCATTTCCTGTCTCTCCGATTTGAAATATTTGCTATTAGCAGAGCGAACGCCAATTAAGAGGTCAAAACTTCAAGTTAGCGACACTTACAATTGTATCCCTAGAAATCGATAACCTTCAGTTACACTTTACGGATAATTTTGCTTGCAAATTAAAACATTTTTTAAATGCGGGATTGAATGCGTTGCAATTAATTCTGCACACCCTAATCTAAACGAATCCAATCCATCAAGGTTCCGTGGAAGTAAGAATATATTTTGAATTTTTGTAGGGTTGCATGAATGTATTTGAATTGCAGAGATTGGCAGAAAATGCAACCATTTCCAAAGTGATCAAATTTTAAATAGGAGAAACAAATATAGAACCTTGTTCATAAAAAATTCAGTTGGGGAACTGAATTATTTCCCAGTTTGATTGAGTAATCAACCAAAATATGAAAATAAACGCCCAAAGAACGGATTTAAACGAAATTTGTAAAAAACGAAACATTTTCACATGAATTGGGTATTTGGCTAACACCTTTTTTTTATATTACGCCCCAAAAGATGAATTATTTGAAGTAAACACGCATTTTTGAGGTCCGTAATAGTGTCACGGATTTGCGTGTGTGGACGCTGTGCGATTTCCCAAGGGCTGACTGTTCATTTGTACCTGTTTCTACCGACCAGGTGTGTATAGCCAATGATGCCCGGTGGAAGTAGTAGGATTTGTCTACCTGAGATTTGCCTTTGAAATCCCGGACCTTTTTGATGGAATCTGAAGAATCGAAACCTCATAATTTTCGTATTTTCGAGTATGTGTTAGCTTGGTGCGTGTGGTGAAATCCGACAAACATATTTTGTTTTTTTGATTGCGAACGACGAGGCAAATTATATGCCGCTCGTGTAACTGATTGCACAGTATCAGGTTTTATACTTGCTATCACTTGGTTCACCGCATTTGATGATGCTCAAAACCTCTGAAGTCTTTCATTTCTCAAATGTGCATACCTGCCTAGTCAAGTTGATGGGCTATTTCCAAGTAGAATGGAATTTCGGTGGTGGGTGGCCTTTAAAACTGCAAGCATAACCTTCTCTTAATAGTGAATGCTTTCCAAAACGAAGCGGGACGAATTGTAAATTGTTTAGAAGACAATAACTCCTGAATCATTGCCACCTTGGCAAATAAGGTCTGTTAAAGAGCAACTCTATCTTGAACAGCATTGTCTTCGATGCTCTTCTGATGAGGACAGTTCCTGAATTTATCCACAACGCTTTCTGGATGATGCTGCATCAAGAATAAGTCTGAATCGTGAATGATTGCTAAGAGGTAGCCAACATTCTTCCTGCCCTCTTCACATTAGCATCTTGGCCGAAAAACTCTGTGCAATCACGCAGGGCCTCCGGAGGAAATGCCTGTTTCTTGTATCTGTGATAAAAACTAAAAGTTCAAACTCGACGATGATCTTAAACAGTGAGAGTAGCTATTCTCTTTTCCTCCTAATTTTACCCACTCATAAAATTTATATAATTAACGTAACTGGACAACCAGTCCTCATTTTACTCAACTAGACCAATCAGTTTTTCTTAAATTCTCTTTTTCTTGTTTATTCTGGTACTTTAATGTGTTGTAACCATCCAAGGCAAAACTAGCCAGGTTGAAAAAAGGTAATGCCTATTTTTGGGAACTTGTGTTAAATGATCTATCTGCCAGGTGGTTGATTTGCGCAAACGTGTTACCCATTTGCGAGCCTGGATAAGTATTGTCGAGAGTTGACTTCCTCCAACCTCAACCGTCAATGTTTTATTTTTGTTCAGCACAAGAAAATTTTTGTGAATTGCATCAACGCGGTAGGTGACGTTTGGGGTGTGTTTGGGGCTGCGTTGCAGCTACAACCGGCTGATAAAATTTCTCAGCAGTCCGTCGACACAGGCAATGCCATATTTAAGCGCCATCTGAAGGTTTGAGAAAAGAAGTTGAATTTTAGGTTGGAAAGAATGCAACTGGACGAACATCCCGGAGGCAGCGACGTTCTCTGAACCCGACCTCTGCATGGTCTTCAAACCGTTTAGGTTGGGATTCCATTGCAAATTGTTTTGTTAAATTGTTAGAGTACATGTTAAGTACACCGTTACGTTTGCCCGTAACAATGGAGAATGCCACTCAAATAACGGTACCAGATCCCTCGCTGAAAGCTAGAACCGACCTTCCCAGGCTAATACCAGAACAAGACCAGATCTCGAGTAGAGAGCTTTATTCACGTCAGCCACGTGCAGAGAAGTCAGTGAAAACGAAAGTGAAACTAATTCAAGTCGAGGTTGACCTTGGCTTGATGAAAAGCGTAACAAAACAAATGTTTGTGAATTAATGTAAATAGCATTGGAAACCATTCTTGGGGAATCGTGGATCCCCAACATCCACACTCGACTTGGCGTGAGTAGTTATGCAAAGTCGACACGATTTGGGGCACTCTTTCTTGATCAAAAAATCCGTGTGGTCATCCAACGCTGCTATCATTCACTTTTGACCAACCGTCGTTGTTTAAATCCACAGGCTTGCCATGTTACAAAGCACTTCTTTCAAAAACCATGTTCCAATTACTCAAACCATGCGTCCGTCCCGACTGTTGACACAATCCAGTTATTTTTGGATAACCTAACAGAATTGAAAAAAACCCACCAGATTGCTCGAGTGGTTTGTTTACAAATCTCCATTACTGTTAATGGGCTGCAGCCATTCTGCCAATGCAAAATGCAGGGTTTTGTTATTTGATGAATAAAATTACCGCCTAGGAGTCCACTAAAATGCAGATAGCATTCTTTACAAAGAGGTCAATTTTCTTTTAGAGGTCCTGCATTTTGCCCTAAACTAAAACAGCAGTATTAAATACCGGTTCCCCAGATCCCATGTCTGACGCTTGACCACACCTTCCCAGTGGTAATGTCCCTGACTCAGACGGAGTGATCTGCCAGAATGCGCCAATCTACTTAAGTCAAGGATGATCTTGACCTGATGGTGGATCAGGCCAGGTTGCCACAGTCAATAGGGGACCATGGGTGACTCACCAACTTAAACGGAGTGGTTAGGGGAATTGTGTACACAATGAGGAAATCCTAACTCGCAATGAACAATTCTAGGGCATCCTGGATCCCTAACATGGACACAAATGAATGATGGAAGGTTAAGAATCTTCCGCTTACGTAGTTCTGCTCAATTCGCAGCTTTCACCAGTCGGTGGTCAACTAACTTGAATAATACACAACCACGGGATAACCAGGACACACTAATGCCTCAAATGTACAAGACTGTGGAGGCTTGATGTAAAATGCCTTGTAGAGCTTTAATGATTGGAAAAAAAATTGCTTTTATGAAAATCTAGACTTCCAGAAACCCTATTAAAATTACTGAGATAATTAATTAAATTAAATGCTTAACGCGCGCTCACGCCTTCCCCATATATTTGCGAAATAGCATGAAATTTGTAACAATGAGGAAGACATCGCGGGTAACCATTTGAATCGGCTTTTGGTGTCACCCAAAAGTAACCGCACCAATGGACGATCTGGCGGTTCCTTTGAGGTGGCCTTTTTTAAATCGTAAACACCGAGTTTTCGATATATGCTGGCAAACTTTTAAACACTGAAGGATAAGCCCGTGTTTCTTTAAAAAAGGCATTTCGTCATCGCAACCCTTTGTCATGCTAAGGCGTCTGACCTTTCTCCAAAAACAGCCTTTTAGATGATTTAACCTGACCTTGAGTTGACGCCTAGAGCATGTGATCCTACTCAGAACATTCCTGTGTGTTGGTGTACGTTCTGCCTTAAAAATGCCATATCTAAGGCTCATGTAATGAAAATCAGCTTTGAGACTTATCTAGTTATTCCTTAAAATATAATTCCCCTCAAAGAAAGGAATTATGTGTGATCCAGTCGAGCAAAAGGTACCCCAGATGATCGTGCCTGCTAGTTAAAAAAACGCATTTTTGTCGAATCTGTTAAGTAAAACGTGGAGTACTCGAGCCTTAACATTTACTGCGTGTCTTTTGCTGTGGGGATTAGCGTGTTTACGTGGTGTGTGGCAACGCTGCATCGTGTTAACTGATCCACAGATTAGAGGCTGCAAAGGAAACTCATCATGGATTCGGTTTGTGGTTATAACATTGCAGGCACAGGAACTTAACAGTGTCGTAGCGATTGTTGGATCAAGTACACCTGCTATAATCAGATTACTCTATCTGCTTTGGGCTCCTGCTTTCCTGTCATGTCTACATAACAACTAAGAGCGAAGCAATCCAGATGACTCACGATTATACGCAGCTTAGTTCGTTTTGTTCAGCTACACTTTTCATAAAATTTCTCTAAATATGCACCAAGTATTAAAACTTAACTGTTGACAATGACGTTAGTATGCCAGAAGTGTAGTATAATTGCTGAGATGCCCTTTTCAAAGCAAAATATTCCTTAAATTTGAGAGAAAAACACATCCGGATTTAAGCTGGCTACGTTCACTAAATGAAGCCCCAATTTCAAGACATCGCGGTTTTTTCATTCGCCTAAAGTTATTGGATGACTGCAAAAATGTTTTCTTCCGTGACACCTTTGACTGTGCTGACCTTTCTTTTATAATCGTTTTATTCACTACCATCCATCCTGAGCCGAAATAACCTTGGAAAATTAATTCGTGTGTAGGATTAATATTTAAAATAAAAAGTTGCATTGTTGTCATGTCGTGTCAAGTTTGCATAAAAATAGATGTGGGTTTAAACCGAAACAAACGTCTTCGAGACATTTATTGATTTGTGCGTGTTTCTTCATTTTGACCAGTTTTAAAGTAATTCCATCCATCTCAAACTGGCGACTTCAAACTAGGCAATGCAGTTTACCCCCAGTCGCTTTATTAATGATTTATCACTGGGGAGGATTCTGAGGAACGAAATGTAAGCAATTTGACTGCGGTTTTCGACTTAAAGCAGTTTGGACACACTTTGAAACTTGATATATGATTGCCTCACATTTGACCGAACAAAACAAACTCGCTTGTGTTTTGTCCCAACTACTTCTCTCCCCGTCTGTCAGCAAAACGAATCCTCTCGAGATCAGAGCGTGAGTGGAGATGAAAAGTGGTTTGTGTGTTTTGCAACTTGGTTAAAATGCTGAAATGCCTCATCCACCTGTCCAAACATTAACTGTGGAGGGAGACGGCAGTAACCCTACTCAACTCAACGCTAAAATCAATGCGTTATCTCCGAATCTGGTCAATCAAAGGGCTGTCAACTTTCACGACGGGAAGTGAAAATGGAAGTTGTCCAGTAACACCCATGGTATGCCACGGGTCTCTCTCTCATGCTGATTGGTTCGGCATAAAGCTATTTAAAACAGGAAATAGCGATCCAAAGGCAGAAATCAGAAACTACATTGCTGATTTCCCTGATGAGGGTACTGGCAGGTTAGGAAAGAGGGGATTTTGCAAACTTCTAAAACGGTGAAGGCAACCCTTAGGAAGGTCTGTTCATTTAATTCAGTTTCAGATAAAAAAAATAGCGACTTTCACGGTCAACTAATACAACACGGCCTTTTAGATGATTTGACCTGGTCGTGAGTTGACCCCACGAGCACGCGATCCTACCTACGCCATTTCCGTATCTGCAATCAAAATGCCATATTTGAGGCTCACGTAACGAAATTCATCTTGTCACCTTGTAGACACGTTCCTAGTCAAGAATCAGGTGTTTATTTAACGTCATTTTTGTTACTTTTACAACACTTTATTTTTTCTTCAGTTATCAACGGTCGTTTTTGTAATGTCCTCTGAATAGGCCAGCTCAAAACTCAATTATTCATTGTACGACCTATCCTTAGTTGATGTCTTAATTTTTAAACACTTTCGAAATTTCGCCTCGGAAACATCACCCGCAAACTAGACCTGTGGGTGATGCGTTTTTATTTATTTACTAATGAGTGTTTTTGAACAGTGAACAGGTTTGCTGGTTTGCAGAAGCATTTAGCCACATTTCGTGGCGAAATTCATGTCGTGTCAGTCGTCACTAATCTAACCTATTCCACAAAATTTTTACTCCGACATAATCGGCTTTTTTTCAATGCCTTTTTGCAAACACTCTGTGCCACTTGGGGCGTAGGAGCGGCATTGGGATCCCCCGTAGCCAGATTAACAAGACCTTACTTTGGCCTATTGCTGGCGTAGGGGCGGTTGTGCAACATCGAGATTCATGCTTAATGCTAGTCTAATTGCCTCTCGACGCTGAGGTAAGTAATTTGCATCTTCGCCGTGCGAGGGGCGTATGCTCAAGCCCACCGCTTCCGCTGACAGACAATATTTCCTGTAAACAAAATACTTAAATAATTCCAATCCTGTTTTTGTCTTTTACCGAAGGACCAGTAATTTATAGGTTCTATTGCAGCCTATAATTTAAATGAACAAAACAAATTTGCGCTTGTTTTTAAAAACAAAATTCTGAAAGGCCAAATTCTGCGTCGGTAATTAAATTTTAGGTCAACAATTTTTATTTCAAAATGAGCGCATTTAAGTTCGACTCACTAAAAAATCACCAAGACGTAAGTCCGGTAGTTGTAGCAGCTTTTAACCTTCTTAATTTGTTGATAATGCCATAAAATTAGTCTATCAATCTATTACTAGTCACGTTTTCGCTTCAAGTTACCTTGGGAGTCACGTGCCCCACATCTATCGCCAGTCAAATTATCTGATTCTATCAAAACCTGACATTGTCTGTCAATTTAAACAAATTCTCAGTGTTAATAACAACCTGATTTGTCGATGTAAATTGTCTAAACTTAAAATAGAGTGTGGTTTGGCTGGAGAATATTTTATTGTTTTTTTTTTTCGAAAATAATTTCAGCACGGCCACTTAATCTACTTAAAATACTGCACTAAAATTAGCTTAAATGCAATTAGTAGACATTGCTGAATGGTTTCTGTAATTTGAAATCAGGCATAATTAAATGCACTCACAACTGAAACTATTTCCAGATGACTTGTTTTAAGCCATCACTCGAAGGTAGAATTGCTTCCAGCTGACTTGGTTCAATCAGAACCAGAGGGTGCTATATGAGGATTAGTCAAGTCAGTTTGGTTTTCGTGGATCTAAAGTGTGTTAAATGACCTTTTTCACCTTGACATCTTACGTCCTCCCTTAACATCGAGATCCTCTCTAACCATGCGAAATAGACTTGTTAAGTTAATCTTTTTATTGCACATTTGCTACTAACTTTTAGTGAGTCGCTTCTAAGAACGCCTTGGCCTGCATTACTGCCTAAAATTGCAGGTAGTTAGCTAGATGTTCCATGGTCAAAACCTTCTGAATAGAGTTTGGTTAATTTAAACTGGGAACACACACCTCGACGAATTGTAATCAGTTCCTGTGATTCTTACCTTGATTTTGCGCCTCACTTGGTAACCATGGCGGCGGACTCATTTGTTAAATTGCACTTTTAAGCGAACCTTCCCCTAGCACGCTTTTCGATTGGTCAAACCACGGCTTTTGCTAAATACCTTTACCATGCTGTGTGCATATATTTTTACACGTACAACTTCTCAAGTTACTTTTGAATTCCACCAATCAAAATACCTGATTCTACCAAACCCTTACATTGTCTGTTGATTTAAACAAACGCTTCATGCTTATAACAAACTAGCATATCTATATGAATTGTCTAACCTTAAAATGGAGTGTTCTTTGGAAAAAAGAATTCGAATTTTTTCGAATTTATTCATCAGAGGTGAATTAGCGGAAAATTGGAATTATGCCAAAAATAACTCACACTTTTTGTGATTGAACGGTCGTTATTCAACCCAAGGAAAATGCTTTAACAAAATTTTACGTCTTCATTTAATTATTCACCCACGATAAAAACAGCGTAATGGCCTGATTTTATCAATTTTTATGAAGAATGAGTGGAAATGAGAAAAGATTGCAAGACAGTGATTACCATGATAGATGCTTTTGCTAATGACATTATCTCGCCTGAGCAGTGAGCTTAAATTAAGCGCCCCTAGTGTAAATTTTCTTATTCGTCCCATTTTATTGAAGAAAAGTAATGCCCTAACCTTTTTGTGGTCACTAAATTACTCAAGTTAGTGTTTAAGAGTATTCACAAACATCGATCTAACCTGTCTGAATTTACCCGAAATAGACGCGCCTAATTTACGGTTAAAAATGCAGCGATTCTGGGACAGTTCGGTTTGGTGGTCATGGTAACCACCTAACAAACCGACTACCCATAAGCGATACTGTTTACAATCAAAGAGGCGGACGAAAACACACTAACTGTAACGGATGCCTTCACGATGCAGCATTTGACAAACCCATTTACTACACTACGTGAAATGCAATTGGATCTGGTCGGGATTAATGTTCGACGGTGTAGCCCATAATCCTCTACGTATGATGTCGGGTTAGTGAAGGGTAAAGGATTTAATCCACACAAAGTGGGTGTGGTCAGGGGGGAATTGTCGTGTGTTTTAAATTCACTACTTTTTTTCATTTCTGTTTAGTTAAGGATGATAATTACTAACTCTAGTGTAATTAAACCCTAGGTAAGGGGAATTTTTCTGTTTACGGAATTTGAAGAATCCTGTGAATTTCAAATTGGTGCTCGCACTCTCGTTAAAACTTCCCCAATGTCCAGCATCTACGAGGGCGTAGAACTCTGCATGCATTGGCAAAAACGCCAGTCAACATGTAGACAGAAAAGTACCGAAAAAATCACGATTCTAGGCGGAAATTTAGTTTAAATTCTGCTTTCACGAGACCCGCAACCCAACATTGGGACAAAAGAAGCAACGTTACCACTCAGTTGCCCTCAAGACCGTGTTTTTTGCGAAATAATTGAATCACGGTTTGGGTACATTCTGATGCCTAAATGTCACATTTTACATTTAATCCTACTCTTATTAGGAGTAGTTAGTTTGACCGGCACTTTCCCTGTCTTGCGTTGTGATGACTCCACAAGCGCCACTATGTTCTCTGGTAGTAGTGCTGTGTAAAGTATTACAAGATTACCAGGTGGACATTTGTGGTGTTTTTTTCAAATTCCCCAGTATTGTTTAATATGTCTGGAATTTGAACAAAACACGTGATGATGACGGCACCACTTTATCACATGGTCTGTCAGTGGATTTTTCTGATATCCGCGCTCCGAGAATAGTAACACAGAAATGGGGTATAATTTTAGCCTGAGTGTGAAGTTTAACTCCTAATTATGGAACGATTTAACTATTGCTTCTGTTTGCGGTAATTTTAAATAATTTACACCAATTCTCAGGATTTTCGCTTGTGTAGACATTCAGCGAAACAGCAGTTTTGAAACTGCTAATTTAAAAACCAACAATCTTTAAATCATTTCCTTACTAATTCAGAGTCGGTGAAAATGCCTTCTAATGAGTTTTCAAAATGCTTTTAATAAACAGCATTATTTTTTTGTGTTTTAAAAACTTTGGAAAGATATACCCGTCTCTGGGCGAACGATTCAAACTAGGAGAGAATCACCTTTGTGCGTATTTTATTCAAAATGGTCGATTTCGTGTTGGTGTAGATTACATGACCGTATTTTTGAGTTTACACCCAATGAGAAGAATCCGTTGTTGTTGAGTAAATCACGGTCAACTTAACAATTTTTTGTGAACACCTTTCAGGCTCTTAAATATTCACGCCATGATGCGATATGACACGTAATTCAGATTCAACAGTGACCTTTTGCAAACCTTGCTTTAGCAGAACTAAATATTTCACGAAATGGTCGAGGCAATTTAAAAAATCGCAGTCGCAAATACCCTAGTAGAAGACCGTAACCATCTTTTCTTTACTCTTTTTAGTTCTCTCGAACGAGCAAATTCAGTCTGATATTCTTAAATTCCACTCTGAGAACAGGGAACTGAGGTGTCGCATTGAAGCCACTACCGATGCCATCAACAACCTCGACAGTGTCTACAACTCCACGAAGTCTGAACCCTTCGTGAAGCGCTACGCCATTCTGAAAGAGGCCATCAGAGAAATGGAGAAATTCGCGGACACCAGTGCCAACCACACGTGACGCCCCAGACCCCTACCCCCCCCTCCCCCCCTCTCCACTCGCATTTACTGTGGTGCTGTACAAAAAACAACGGCTACTTCTCTGTTGCCCCCGTCGTTAAGTCACCGTGCGCGACGACAACGTGGACACCTATACGCCGTGCCATCTGTGATAACTGCGCGACAGAACAGTGGGTGTTTCGTTTCATTTTCCTCTTGACAATTTCATCCTCTGTTAAAGTGCTTGTCAGATGTTAATTAGTTAAGTTTTTAAAAGTAGAAATTTGCATAGGCTTATGTGACCAAGTGCGTTAATCTCCTTATCTGGTGGGAGTCAGACAGTCCGCTATGGGGGATACGGTGAAGCGTTTCGAGCGGTTGAGGTTACCCCTGTGGATACGTGCAACGCGTAAAATGATCGCAGTTCGTGTGGGAAAAGTATAAAATTTGGCGAGGTGGCGCCTTAAGAAGTGTGAGATCTTGGTACGCAGAATTATTTATCGAGCAAAGAGTTTCTAAATGAGGCGGTGTGTTTGCGAATCTAGTAGTCGACTGAATGTAGATAACCTGTACCATGGGATTTTCGGAAATTATGTAGGCCATCAGACGTGTTTAAACATTTACAGCTTGGTCCGAATGTTACAAAATCACATGGCAACCACGAATGCCTTTGTAGCTAAGCCGCCTAACCACACAAAGCCAACATCCAACCATGGCTGACGCTACAAGGTCAATTAGGAAAAGACGAAATCTCTTTTGGTTGTTTAAGAAAAAGATTAATCGAATGAAACTGTCCAATCGCCATGCTGCAGCTTTCGCGGTCCGCTTGTTTCCGTTTGTGTTTGCTGGCATATTGTGATATGAAAATGTTTCAATTTAAGAAACGCGCAAGGTTTGAATGGCCAGACATGTCTTCACGCCAGTCAGTTACCCGCCACAGTGTGGTGGGCGTCGGCGGACTGGTGTTTTCGATGACCTGAGAAGTTATGATTGTTTCCAGAAGGAAACACAATTTCTCTGAACATAAGTGCAAATAAATGCGTTGCATTTTTTCACCAAAAGTCAACAAGTAATTTCAATAAGGTTTTGAATTCAGATGATCGATTGCATTATGATCCGAGCCATGTGAACATGGTAAAGGAATATTTGTAATTTGCCTAACTTTATTTCTGAATAGAAGCCAGGGCTGAAGTATCAACCCACACAAACTATGCTATAATAATGCAAAATGCAGCGTTATAGTGCTTCGCCGTATCTACTGGCCATTTGGGCCATGTGAATACGCAAATACACGAACGCACCGGCATGGTTCCACTCTATAAGGGCTTTTTGAATAAATTATTGAAAGTCTAAACACTGAAAAGGATTTTTTTCCACAGATCAAGTTCGGTTTGTTTTTTTTACTTACCGTTGTTATTTTAATAATAGAAAAAAACTAGCGAATAGCATCACTTAAATGCACTTCTATTATACGTTAGCAATTATTTGTATTTGTATGGGAATTTAAGTCACCAAATTCTGTTAGACCACACAACCAGACCAAGACGCCGTTTCTTTCCAGATTAAAAAGCTGTGACCTTTACGAATAAAAACAGCAGAGTTCTTGTGCAACATGAACTTGTCTTGAACCACGCCGGGACCACCGCGTCGCAGCTAGGCCGATTACCCTATCCTGAGTGTCCGAGAAAATGAAGAAGGCCGGAGAGGACTAGGCACTGTCTTTCACTAGACAACTCAATCTACTTGTATTGTGTTGACTGATACAGCTGAGTGGACTAGTAAAAATGCAAAAGTCTGAATGGTCACATGGATAGAGCGGGTGGTGGTGGTGGTGGTGGTGGTGGTGGTGGTGGTGGTGGTGGTGGTGGTGGT